CGTCCAGCTATCCCATCACCGACCAAGCCAACATACTCGCCGCTTTCACTCAACGACAACGGACAATATTCACGCCATTTCGACTTGGAAGATTTTACACACGATTCTGCTCATCATCACTATACCTACTTCGAGTACAAGATTCTCTAGGTCAGCTACCAACTTGCAGTCCGCTCCCTTGACAACGCCGGCAACCGCCTTCGACACGACTCCTGAAGCACGCTGAAGTGAGCGTATATTTTGCTTACAAAATTTTGGGTAAAAAAAGTCGCAGAAGCTGCCGCTTCCGCGATCGGGTCCACCAAGTCAAAGCTTTTACACTTTAACTCGAAGACAACAACCTCAGCAACAGGCCAGCGCGTCCGCCAGCCCATTGCGTCAACAGTTGCGACTCCGATACCAAGACACCATCAACACCAACTGGCCCAGTTGTGGCGCGCAAGGCACATTTTAAATTTGAAGCTACCGCACAACAGTTGCCCACTGGCGGTAGGAATCACACCCCCTTCAGCACCAACAGTAGTCACCCACTCTCGGCTTCCGTGAACTCCAAGTCACCCCTTTCTCGCCGATCGACGGTCAACTGCCAATTGCTTCCGTCAAACAAGCGACATCAAGTAGCAGCGCCGCGATCGCTCACGATTCCACCACGATCCCGCCCCCATGATTGCACATAATCAAGATCCAGAAAATGTCGCAGTCCTCCGATAGCCCTGCGAAAGGCACACGGAAGAAACATCAACTGAAACTTGGGCCTCACCACATACCCGACTTCCACACACCAATACCTCTCGGCTAGTATGCTTCCGTAGGCGTCTTGCCCTCAGAAGAACAAGCAAGCCCACTTCCAAGTCGTCCGGCGTCTCCACACACCCTACGTTTCACCGGACCGTTCTGCCACGCACTTGGAAGAAGACACTTAGTAGAATGCGCTCAAGATCCCCCCACACCCCCAAGGAAGTGTGAGATACTCACAACCCAGCGGGCACACGCCACAAGAACGTCCTCCCATCTCAAATCAAGGCTTGTGAAACCAAGTTCATCCTAGATAAGGAGTACGACAACTTGAAAAAACTATTTAAAATATAATGAACATTTCAAATCAAGGCGGAAACCTCTACCTAATATTCTCTGGGTGCTCGCTCGTCATGCCCATCTAGTTCATTGAGTAATAACTAGCATGGAGCTGTTCGTCTGCTAGGGCCGTGGTCCCAAGCAGGCCCAACGCGCTCCTGCACAATCTCCCCTCGACGCCTTCGCTAGAACTCTTCCAACCCATCCGCTCCTTTTTGCGTCGTCCACAAGCATGCCTCTACTACCATTTCCGACGCATTTGTCCCCATGACGTCTAGCGCTCGACTTCTGCAAGACGGACTATCCAAGGTACACATATATAGCCAGCCCATCGACGCTAGTCTGATACGTTGTACACGTCGCGGAGTTTGGCCAGCGGGACCTACGAAAGCCGTCGTGCAGGAGCGTATTCTGCGACGAATACAACGCACCACAACGATGTCCAGCATGCGCCCGATCGCGTGAAGTCGCTGCTCTTTGAACTCAACATCTTGGTCGGGATCGTCCCACATCACAATGAGGTCTGTCCGCGTCACGGGGCTCCACTGCATCGCCGACAGCACGGCGTTTTGGACTAGCCACGAGTGCTTGTTTTGCTTGGCAATGGTCGCGGCATAGGCAGCCGCAGCACACTGGGTTAACGCCATGTCTGGGTCTTTCTCCATTTCGAGGCACAGCGACCGCACAAAGAGGAGGACTGGGACCATGTGGAGCACCGTCCTAGACCACGATGCAAGCATGACAACATAACGATGTGAACGCTGCAAGGGCACCTCGTGATCGAGCGCGGGTCATGCCGCGCGCTGTCGTCCCGCACGAGTTGCTGAATCGTCACGTTCGAATCGTGACCTGTTTCGGTCCACACACGCACCAACGCCGCTTCGTCCACCTTCCATGGCTTGAGCGCGACGCTGCCGAGCGTCCCGAGGAACTCGAGCAGTTTGTGGATCTCTCCTGCCATCGTGATGAAGTCATGCAGTGGCATCTCCGACGCCGCCTCGACCAATACTTCCAACGACGTCGACAGCACGTCCAGCGATGCGACTTCGTGGAGCACATCGTCGTCGACCTGATGCGTGTTGAAGCTCAGCTGCTTGGTCATCTATCGCCGCCACGGACCATCAAGACGGACGAGAAACCGATGAGATGTTGGGGGTACCCTTGGGGACAGCGGAGTGGATGCCATGGCATCGTCGGTTAATGTGGCAGCTCGCCACCACTTGTGGCCGTAGAGCGGTCCTACCGCGGCCGTAACCACAGTCACCAGACCAGCAACCGTCCACATCACGTAGTTGTCTCGGTCGGCGCTCATCGAATCGGTCGTTGGCCAGATCCATTGCGCCAGCACATGCGCGACAACCTGTGCCACCGCCATGTTGAGCGATTTCGGAGTAATCAGTGTTACCAGTAAGCCACAGAGAATGCTGGCACGGAGCGCAATGTCCTGGGCAACTTGACTGGACCCTGCCGTCCCCAAATCCTTGGACAAAGACGATGTCGACCCTCTTTCACGCGAGCTCGTGGCCCCCGTCTGTGTGGCATGGTGGTAATCCACGGCGTCTTGTGGAGCATGGACGGTGTCGGCCGTGGGGGGCTGCTGCCGATCCACGAGATGCAGCTCCGCCGGGGACCACGGCGCGTTGTCTAACACGACTCCGCGTCCCAGAAGTTCCAGGACGCGGACTCGGTACGGGATGTCAAAGAACGGGTTCCCGAGGAGCGACAGGTCATGCAGGAGTGGAAGCGAGACCAAGTACGCTACTTCCCCCGTTGTTGGAATCGCGTTGTGGGCAAGGTCCAGCGTCTGCAAGGTAAACATTTTTTCGAGCCCTGACGTGGACATCAGGTGGTTGTGGCTCAGGTCCAACGACGCGACGGCGGCCAAGTAGCGATGGGCGCCGGCCACCGAGGTCAGCTGATTGTAGCTCACGTTGACGACGGTCAAGTGAGGACAGTTCTCCAAATGTGCCAGCGTTTGTAACTCGTTGTGGGCTACGTTGAGTGTGTGGAGCCGCGGGGCCAGAGTCAGGCTCGGGTCCAACTTCGACACGCCACACGCGACGAGCTCGAGGACTTTGAGTGCGCCCCACGTGCCGCTCGAACTGTCTTCGCCAAGCAGCGCTGCCAGCGATGGCACGGTCGTGCGCGACAAGTGCAGCTCGATGAGTTGTTTCCGCAACGCAGGGAGGTGGTGGATGTCGTTGAACGGAACACCGTCAACGTGGAGGTACAGCAACGAGCTAAAGATGGACAGGTTGCACGTGGACGGTAGCGGCATGGTGTCGGGCAATGCCTCGATGCTCAAATCGATAACGTGTAAGACGTAGCCAGCCAGCTTGAGTATGCGATTCGTCTTGGACATGCCTTGATTGACGTTGGTGCCGCTCAGCTCGCACGTCTTTTCGGTGGCGTCGTGGTCCCGCCGCGCTTGCCACTGCATGACGGCGCCATTGTCGGGGTGCCATGACGGTTGAAGCATGGCCAGGAAGCACCCTTCGAGGTAATGCAGACACGGAGGATTCAGCTTCACTTGGAGCCGTGGGTTACGAACGCGAAGAGATTTGGCATGCTGTTTGAGAAACATGTAGAAGCTCTCGAGAAAGGCCTTGCCTGGCATCAATAGAGCCTCTGGCGATGACGCTTGCGCGGATGGAGTAGATTTCTTCTTAGTGGGCTTGGGGTCGTGGACGCAACCCGCTGACGGCAGTGGTCTTGTTGACACTAAGGCTGTGGGGGATGGATTCGGAGACGACTCGGCCGAGCTACTGCTGGCACTGCTACTACTACTGCCGTCATCGTCAGCGATCTCATCTCCACTTGACGTCGCGTGGGAGTTGGTCTGTTGTGCGTGGTGGATGGAGCTTTTCGTGCGGTTTCGCATCGTGGTATCGACGTTGAGCGCGACTGCTTTTGACATTTCCTTGGTTAAGTGGTGAAGCTGATGCGACGGATTCACCATCTTCTCTTGGCGGTGAGGCAGTTCACCCGCAGACACGACATCAGCAGCCTTTATCGGCTCCATCCCCCGACTCTAGCCACTTGTGCTGTGACCTCTGCGTTTCTGACAGTTTCACGCTCATGGCATCTTATTCGGACGAAATGCAGCAACTTCTATTTAATTACAAGCACTACGGCATATGATAATATTCGAATATAATAACCTTCGGCTTATCCGGTTTGTCGAATCCTAAAGTTCTAAAATCGAGAATGCGAGGACAATTCGCGATATCGCCAACACGCTTTGAGCTCATGCCAGCCAGCTTGCTCAGGCTCGATACCTTCTACGTCGTAGAGAGCATCGCAACTTTATCGCATTCAAGCTGCAAAGGTATCCATCCATGCTTGGACCAAGAGTGGATGAAGGTTGGTCGAATTCCGCCCGACCACCAACGTCCACTTGGACGTGTAAATGTGAGTTTTTCGAGTCGCACAACAGACTGTTGGGGATCTCCATTGTCGCCACACACCACTGGATGTCGCGATGGGCTTCCCATTGTCGGCATAATCCCCTCTCTGCTGAAGGGAGTGTGGTTGTTGGCTAAGTTCGCGAGACCTTCCTGTGGCATTAGCTCAGGACGAGAAGACCTTGGCCTCGCCTGTGGAAAGTTCATTAGCCGTATCCAAACGTCGGCTTTGCTTGATGAAGGTCAGCGACGAGGCAGTGGTAATGCTTCAAGCGTCGATGCCAACTCGAAAGGTTCGTCTGCATTATTGATATACAATCTACGGTTGCCAGGCAAGCAATCGATATGCTTGGTCGGAACGGGCTAGAGCAAGCCGAGGTACTTTTTTGTGTAGTCGTCGGCGTCGTGGATTTGAAACTCGTACGCGTTGAAGATGACGCGGGAACTCAGCTGAAAGTCCTCGAGGTGATAGCGCGCGCCGTCGGGTTTCTTGTGTGGACCGCGTTCGAGGAACTTGCCGCTTACGATTCCAGAGTTGCGCTGCTCCGGCTCGTAGATGGACACTGTATCATCGGCGAGGTAAAACGCCACGATGAACTGCCGCGCGGCTTGTTCGCGCCGCGTTGAGACCATCTTGGCCGAGAAACGGAGCACTTTTCGATCGTTTTCAGACATCTTGATGAAGTCCTTTTTGGGCACTTTCGGCACCAAATGCGTGACCGACCCCAGCGAATCTATACACAGGATGCGTCATGACCCAGCCGCCCTCCTGGAAGCGAGGGGTTGGTGTTATCTTACCTTCCTCCGTCCCATACCCAGTGTACGGAGGTGGATCGGGCTTCTTCTTCTCCTGCCGTGGCTCTTCGTGGTACATGGGCGGCGCCAGCTGGACGCCCCACGTGTCGGCATAATACTTTCGTGTGTACACGTCGGCGTCGACGAGCTTGACGGGCCGGCTGAACACATTGATCACGGCGCCGACGTACAGGTCTTCTTCATTGAAGTAAGCGGACCGGCCAGTGGGCTCCTCGACGCCTCGATCTTGTTCGTCGTGGATTGCACCTTCCCACTGTTTGAGGAGCCGGCAGCGCGAGAGCAGGAGCGGGAACGGGTCGCGCCCCGAGTTGGGCTTCTCGACCTCCTTGATTTCGATCGTGTCGTCTTCCAAAAAATAATTCAAACTGTACGCCATCAAGTCGCCGTACAGCTTGTCGCGGTCGTCGTACTCGCATTTGAAGTTGAGCACCTTGCGGCAATTTTCCAAAAACTTTTTCTTCTTCATGCTCTGGAGACCGTGGTTCCCCAACGTGGCTTCCATGAACGTCTTGAGCGCGCTGTTCTTTTTCCCGTAGAAATGACCGACTTCGCCACCGCACAACTTGGCGATTTCCTGCCGACTCAATGTGTATTCATCCTTGGGAATGTCAATGTCAGGATGGAGGTCCATGCCGTGCTCCGAGTAGTACGCCCGTGTCCACGCGTCGCAACTGTACAACTTGAAAATGCGACCGTAGATCGGAAAGTGCATGCCCACGTAGATGTCTTCCATTTTGTAGTGGCCGCCGTTGTTGGGCTTTTGGAGCTTGCCGCGTTTGAGGAACGTACCCTGGGGCAGCCCGCTGTTGGCGACCTTGTTCTCAATGATCTCGATGGTGTCGTCGGTAAGGTAGAGCAAGATCATGCTTTTGCGAAGCCGGAACAATTCGGACGGACTTTCGTCGACTGTTTCTTCGAAGAACGCGTAGAACCGCAGCACTTTGGTCACGTTCGCAGGGGCAAAAACGCTCTCGTCTTTCATCGTCAGCTCGCTCCCAAACTCCCGCGCCGTCGTAGAGAACCGATCGGGGTCACCACGTTTGTCGGCGCGAGTGGCCAAGATACTCGGGGATTGGGGCAACGAGCTGTCAATGCGCATGCCCTCAACTATCTTGAACTTCTGCTGCTTGCCATCGTTGCCAACCTTGGCGTGGTAGTTGCCTCGACCAAGGATGGGGTTACTTTTTTGGAACACATGCTCTGCCATGACAGCCTGGAGCGTCAAATGGCGGGGGTGGCGGGGAAAGGCGGCCGGGGGTGTGGTCGCAGAGTGTCGTTGGGGAGTTGCGCCCAAGTGCACTTTGCTATGTTTAGATTCCATCGATGCCATTGGCCAACGATGATTTAACCGTTTCAGAATCAACCAATCAGTCGTATTCATGTATTTTAGCCAATCAATGGGTTTCAAAAGTCAAGCCAATCAAGTGGCATCCGGATAATCTTCGTTGAGTCCAGTCCGTGCCAAGTCGGCCGTTCGAAGATGGACACTGCATCATTCCCGGGTCCGATCGGCGAAGGGAAATCCGACGGCAACGCCACGGAAGTCTCGGCAGCGGCACATGCATGGCGACTCGAAAAGCGACGATCCAAGTATGTCAAGGCGAGGCAATTCCTTGAAGAGCAGTACGCAGAGACGGGTGTTGAATGCCCTGTCCGGTCACTCGAAGGCTTGACGTTCGCAACGTGGAAAGACTTTCACGATTTGCTGCACGAGTACATGAAGGAGACGAACCAAACGTACATCTCGCGCGACTCCAAGACGACTGTGCGGTACAACGCCGAGCAGATCAGGCGTAAGGTCAAGCAGTTTGCGCCTGTGCCTGTTGAGTTCACGCATGCCCGCATCCGGTGCGTTCGATCGTCACGTCGACAGGATTCAGACATGCTATTACATAGGTTCGATTGCAAGCATTCGCACTCGAACATGTCGAAGAACATGAACTTGTTCGAGACGAAAGAAGCGGTCGTCGACGGCGCCTCCACCGCAGGTGCTGTCGACAATGCAAATGACGATGCCACGTTCGTGCCTGCAAACCCCAAGCGGAAAGCGCGCGACGGTGCATTTTACAGCGCCTGTCCTGTCAAGATGCACGTGCAGGTTCACAAGGTCCCGTCATCCCTCGTGGACGAGTGGCGCGTCGTCGTCACCAAGCACGTGCGTGCCCTCCCTTCCATTCTCATCGGTTGGGACTTTGCGGGGGTGGTGTAGGTGCATGTGCACAACCACGACTTGGGCACAGGGCTTTTTACCGACCCATTGCAAGACCTGTCGGCACACACGCTGCCGCAACTTCTCGGTCCCCATCGAACGTTGACAAGTGGGGCCCTTCCTTTGCATCTGGATGAGTCCAAACGGCATCGCGCGTTCAGCGACTTGTTTGAGTTTTTCGCAGCGTACCAATCATCACGGTATGTGGCATGGTGACGGAGCAGCTTTTGACTCAAGTCATGCGTCAGGAACGACGACGCTGAGTTTCACAGGCGATATGCGACCATGCATTCGATCATTTTCCAATGTCTTGGCGAAGACTTGGGCAATGGCGGCAACACTGCCACTACGGAGAGTGCGGTCGCTCAATTTCTCGCATTACTCAAGCCACCACCTGCATTCATTTCGAATGAGAACGCCACTGCACGACACACAAGCTCCATGCACAAGCCCCCGCACATGGCCGCGCCCTTCATGTCCCTCTCGTCAAGTAGCGCTGGTCAGCATCAGCAACAGCACCAGTATCAGCTTTAAAAACTGATGTGCACGGCTTCTTCGGGCGTAATTCGCCACGTTGTGTACTACACACTCAACGCGAACGTCAGTCGGGCGAAATCACGTAGGAAGCAACAGCTTTGACAGCCATGCACACATCATGGACCATGCCCGTACCCGCCTAAACTCGTCCATAAACCCAAGCGATGGAATGGGAATCTCCTTGTGAGTATGGCCGTTCGGGCACAGCCCCCGCTCCTTGTCGCCGAGTTCGCCAATGTAAAACTGCTTGAGGTACCTAGGCGCGGAGGGTGTGGGAACGGGTCCCATGTGGTGCCATACCGGAACGACGCTTTGGACGCGTGAAAGACTTCAAACATGCCGACACAATCGACGTTGAGTGCCTCCTTCGGAATGAGCTCGGACCCGCCTGGGTGCTCGGGCAGCCACCGCGTGATATCCAGGACCATGCCGTCCATGATAAGCCAAAACTCGTTGCCGACAAGGTTGCGCTCCACGACGTAACTGTACTTGATAGCTTGTTTCCGCACACGGGATTCAAATTCGCCCATCTTCATGCGGCACAAATCCTCGAGCCCCTACAGCCGTATACGTGCATGAGGTCTCCAATGCCATGACGTTGACACCAACCTGACAGCCGACGGTGCGCGCGGCATGCAGTAGTCCATCGGTAAAGTGCGGATCGAACTGAAATGTCTCGTCAGGGTGCAGTGCCACGTGCTCCAGGTACAGTAACACGCGATCAAATGTAAGGCAGTCCACGTCGACGTGAACGACGCTCTCCTTGTCCTTGTGGACGCCGTGGCCGGCCATGACGGCGGACGTGAGCTTGATGCACGGCCACAAGAGTTTCTTTTTGACGGGGAACATCTCGTCATCGTTTGTGTACACATCGACGACAGACCCCTTGTATGACGGTGGCAGGGCTTGGTCGGTGTCGGTGGGGTTGTCGTGAAACAAATCGTACTCTTCGCTGTCGGGATTCTCCTTGACGAGAAAAATCGCCGTCGTTGCGGCGTCCACGCGTCCTCGAAACACGTAAGGCATGGTGAATTCGGTTTCGTTGGGATCGTGGCCTTCCAGATGCACCACTCGAAGAAAGAAGGGACGGTCGTCGTCGTCGGTCATGCGCAATACCACACGTTCGTTTTCCGTCAGGATTTTACCGTGTCCAAGCTGGGCGAGTCGCGATTTGACGGCGGAAACGTCCACAACGATGGAATCGGCACCGCCTTCAGTGCTGACAAGGGGACGGATTTCAAACGTGATGGATGCTGCCAGTGGGTCTTGCGTTGGATTATACCATCGCCACGTCGCCTCTTGGCCGTCACACAATTCCAGGTTGATCAATTGCTCAGCGCTGCACCAGATTGCGTCCTCAGGAACTTCGTCGAGGAAGCACACTTGGGACACAAACTGGGCATAAGTTCGGGGATACACGAACAACGACTCGGAGGATTGGGGTGGAGCATGCGATGGGTGCAGGAAGACACAAAACGGCGCATTGTGTTCGTACTCTTGCGCACGGAACGTTTGCGTTGGCGATAGCGACGCCTGCATGTTTTTGAGGAAGGCCGCATGCGTCGGCAGGCGGAACTCACCCGCTTGGTTGTTGTTGGCAACCCACGGCATGCTCGTGATATGGGCCTTCGTTTTCCGAGTATCCGGGTATCCGGATAAACACCGCGCTTCAATCGAACAAACGCGCGCATTTTCAGGTGTGGATCGGTCGGCGCGGCGTGGAGCTGCTGCATGCGGAGTGGAGAAGAAGTCACCACGATAGGACACGAGCGCATGAAGCATGTCGTTATGGCGTGGAAGGAGCGAACCTTCATCAAGCAACAACGACGACATCAACTTCTGGTGTCGGAAGCGTACTGTGAACTGATGGCGCTCGTCAACGCATTGATGGCGTGGAAGGTGCGTCGTAAGCCGTCCGTTTGCATGCATATTTGAGGCGTATGAAAGATGTCATGTGAATGGTAGGGTTATTTGAAGTGCCGTCGACACCAACGACGACAAAGATTCCCACGCTTTGACTTGTTCGCGTTCTGTCGATGGGTCCGATATCGAGGTGCGATGCCTCCTGCACACAGTTGATGTCCCCCTCTCTGCCTTGACTACGTACATGGATGTCATCTCAAATGGCTACCAATACTAGATATGTGCAGAATACGTCGTCTACATGATATCCTTGCCCTTCGTCACATGCGCGCTCGATTCCTCTATACTTCGTTTCGATCGTGGAAAACGTCCATGAAGATTCGTCGTGTCCGGGTGCACCGTTTTCTCGTACATTTCTTCTTGTTTTGGAAGGGCCAAGTATGTGCAAGAAGTTCAATGGAATTCATCACGTCACTTGCGACTTGAACACTGAACAGGTACCAAAGAAGCAAGTAATCCTTCGCTCGACGGTGATTCCTCTTGCGTCCTCACACCGACACTGGGAACATGCAAGCACCGCAAAGCATCACCACATTACATTTTGGCAGGTACTGCGTATTTTTCTCCGTTCTATACCCGAATGTGACCTACCGTCGGGCTTAGCACATGATGGTTCGTCGCGTGTTTACTCCATGGAAAGCCGCGACCAAATGGAGTCGCTGGATATGTCAACACCTTGAAGGTTCATACAACCGGTGGCTTGTCACGCGAATATGGCACCTGTGGAAAACCAAGATCACCCGCACATTGTTCGCACGCCTCAGTCTTCATCGCAGTCGACATTGGGCAACCCAACACCTGCTACGACGAATGTGGTCCTCTTGGCAGCACGCTCTCCAACGGCGCCGTGCCGTTGCGATGGCCGTTCGTACGTATTGCAGTAACAATCAGCGACGCATGAAGCACAAATCATTTTGTGGTTGGACCTATCTTTCCCGTCGTACACGACTGGTAAGAAGATGGCGTGTTTGTGCGTGGAGATACACGTGGTATTGACTTCGTTGCAACGATTTAGATTCGACTGTGGCAATCTGCTAAAGCCGTTGCAGCACTGCACCATGCGTGGCGTTCCTGGCGTTTGTATTTGTACCTTCAGCTGAGCAAGTACACCGCAGATCAAATGCACTATCAACATTCTTGTCGGCGCGCGTTCAGTCAGTGGAAAGCCTATCCTTCTGCATGTCGCGATGCTAGGAATCAGTAGGGTGTATATCGATACGTTTGGGCACCTCGAATGCTCTATTCACGATGAGTGTTGTCGATAGGGCGTTGATATCTGCTCAAAATCTCAAGCGATTGATATTTTTGAGATGGAAAAGAACAGTCGTTGACTTGGAAGCGTTCCGAATTTCCAGTCTGGACCAATACCTCCAAGATCACCACGTACGTACCACAGCGATAGAGCAGTGGCTGTCCAGCTGGACAAAACGCTTGCTCACTTTTTACGATGTCATCCGAACTTGGCATCATGTGTCGTGTCGGTAGGTGCTGGTGCAGCAAAGGTTCCTATATCTTTGGGCATTGGAAACTCGACGGGTCTTGGACGCGACACGACTCTTTTGGTACTCTAAATGCACAAAATCAGTATTCCGACGGTGGGTGGACCACACGCTGGGCGCCCAACAAAGGCGTGCTGCTGAGGACCTTGCAACAGTCGCCCATAGCTTCCGCATGCTTCGGCAAGCGATTTCCTGTTGGCAGTCCCGCCCAACGAAACGATTAAAATGGCATCGAGCAAAGGTATAGTGTCCTCGATGCCCATCGTTTCAAAGGAAACACTTCTCATTGCGTCGATTACAGGCTCACCACAGCCACAAATTGAAGTCGACTGCGTGGGTTTTGTGGAGAACTTACCGACGGCGCATGACGATTCAAATGTACACAACTTTGGCAGAGTCGAAAGCGCGACAGGCGACCTTGAGCAAGTTCATCCTGCGCCTGTCCAAGGATGTTAAGCACGCAGGTATCAATCCTAATGCGCGGCGCTAATATTTCTCGTTCGGACCTAAATGCTGTCGAGTGATTCTAGTTTGCTCGTGCGTTCCGCGGTACGTTATTTCAAAGACGTGGACGCAATGGACTTCGTTGCACGCTTCGATTCGCGCTCAACGAAACATGCAGATGAACGTACGTCGTCTAGCTTTCGCTGAATCTGCCAACATAAGGCGTACGAGAGATGATCCTACCGTGAATAGGTCTTTCGACGATGGAAATACGTATATTTGACGAAAAAGTGCGGCAAGATCGCAATGCCATTCCACAAGCCTTTCTACCAGCATCAGTTAACGTCTTCGACGAACCCGCTTCGTCCACGAAGGCCTTGGCGGGGCTGAATGCGCGGAAGCCATTCGTGAAAACTTCCATCGCAACAATATGTTCCAGGCAAAATCTGGTAAGCAAGTCGAGGAGTGTGTGCGAACAGTTTTTTTATCTTGCAAAAACCAATTTGACAGGCGTCTACGCCCCAACTTGTTGAGAAACGGCTAGGACAAGTTGACGCCGTCGGACGGTGGTCAGGGTTTGTCAAGTCGCAGCGCAGGACCGAGTCTCGAACAAATGGCGGGCAAGTGGGTGAAAACGACGGTGTGAGCTTGCTTTGCCTTAGCAGGGCCTCGAAGACAGTCCCAGTCAAGGTCCCGCCCTTCTCGGGGTGGCGTTCGAGGGAAAAGGGAAGGGTATGACTGTCCAGTTCATCCAGAACAATGCGTTGAGACAGCCTCCCTCAGCATTCACCAAGATCGACAAAGCGACGTCACGCACGTATCGACGAGTACACATCTGCGGCAACCATGTAATCGCACCCGGCGATAACTTTCGGCGCCGTCCGTCGTGGCGTTCGGCTTCCACGGTCATTGTTCCGTAAATGACTTGTTCTCGGGCACATCAAAGTCCCTTGCGGGAATCCAACACCACGTTCTTCGGCTGAAGTCGCGGTGGATGATGTGAACCCAATTTAAATAGGCCAATGCTCTCGCCACGTTGGCCACAACCTTGATTTCGTCGATCCGAAATGGGGTTGGTACGTTGCAAGAACGACGCCGGATCGCACTGGTCTATGATTTCTGCGATGCCCTGGATATCGCTCAGCGACGACCACGCAACCCCGCGCAACTGGCCAATGTGCGAGCAAGTCAGCCGCCCAAGGAGCTGGAGTTCCTCGACAAATAACATTTGCGTTTGGACACCACTTTGACGGTGTGGCAACAGTTTCTGATCGCAACGGACTCGTTGGCATAAACACCGAGCCAAACTTCGCCCCACGCGCCTTTCGCCAGCAAGATCTTGTACCCGATGTCCCTCTGGTCGATATTCCACAGAGTCAGCACCGCCAAGGACCCTCCGGCAGCCCACCGCTCACCGAGTTCCAGCAACCGTGTCGAACCTGTAAGCGTGCGGCAACCCGACATGGACCGTCGACGTTGTTGTGGTTGCTGCGCTGCTGTTCCCTTGTTTTCGCTCGCTGGTGTTGTTGTAATCGGAATATCCGTGGAACGATGGGGTTGTTGCCGTCTCGGGAGCGGCCGAAGTGCTGTTGTCGTCATTATAGCTGTTGCGTTGGCGGCTCCAGACCCCCATCCGCCATCGCCAACCTCACCAAGAGCGTCGGATGCAGGCGTCGGCGTTGTTGCCGTTACTAGTGGAAGGGTGATCGTATCTACGACATCACGACCTCATGTCAATGGCGAACGGGTGAAAGGAAAACGTCACCTGTGACACTAACCGAGATGTTGGCTCAGCAGCAATGCCTGGGAGTCCTGGACAGCAGTGCACGATATCGCGTGGAATGACTCGATTGCGACGAGAATCCCTGTCTCGATGGTGTGGTGGCTCAGACCGAGTGCATTCAACGATATTTGAACGACCGTTTGGACATTTGACACGTCGAGATCGTGCATCCGCCGCACTTGTTACAAGAGCGCATGAAACGATGAGGTCGTCGACAGCTCCAAGCAGCCAACGCGCGACAACGTACAATGCAGTCATGTTGGAGTTGAATGGGACGCTGACGACGCTCGTGGTCGTGGTCGGGTTCCCGCTGAGCAAGCAACAATGGCCACGACGAGATATTATCATCAGCGCGCTTGGCGGTGTCCTTGCGAGTAACGCTTCGCTTGAATGAGGCGGGGTCCGTCGGAGTCCGCACTGCTTTTTACGAGCCCTTGTTACGACAGAAGACTGTGTGCGTGGCGAACAGTAGCCGCCGCCGTTGACGTCGATGTTGCTGGCAGTGAGGACATCAACGTTGCCGACGTCTTCTTGGGACCCGTATGGGCATGTGATACGGTTGCGGCCATGATTCACACAAGTACAAGGATGTTCATGACGGTACTGCGCTTCCCGTCAAAGCTTTGGACAGGAGAATGTGGCGTTGGTGTCGCAGAGGTGGGCAATTTGATCAGAAACACAATTTTGACGAGGATAGACATGCCGTAAACTCCACGCCGTCTCGCCCAACAGCCACATCCTGCAATCAACCCACACTACCCCACGACTACAAGCGGTTGCCGTGTCGATGGACGCCGCGCCGTTACTACTGAACCGCGAGATGAACGTGGAAGGTGGATGAATTGACGAGTTCGTCCGTCTCACTTCTTGCTCGCACAGCGTCATGATTGCTGTCACCCGATGGACATGGTGGAAGTGTCCCCATTCTTCATGCTTACAATGGGGTGCACAGAAGACATGGCGTCTTGGCGCCTGAACACACACATCCGATAGACAAGTCCCAGAACAACTCTGGCGCGATTGAAGCAATCGAAGGAATGCACAAGGAAGCGATGGTTGCGCGCAAGGACACCGCGCCACACCACGATAGTAGGGATCTTGAATTTTGGCCTGCGTTGCATTGTTGATGCATTCGAAAATTCACTTTTGATTGGATAATAATCTGCCCAAAAGCTGCATTAACCTATCCCTTTTCAACTAATCAATCATGTTTCGTATGGCAACAGGGTTCGAACAAACCGATTTTAGCCAATGAAATTACGAGGATCGTCGACGCGCAATGCCCGCCGCGACGATGGCGGCGCGGACGTGTGTCGATTCCCGCGACGATGCTGCTGCTAGCATGTGGCTGATTGAGCATTGTTACTGCACATTATTTTTGTATGGTGTCCTTCAAGTGCGTCGTCCAGTCGTCATCGCTTGACTGTGTTATCCGTCGCGATGTTGCAGTTGGGGACGACAATGGACCCACCGTTCGGGATGTAGCGGAGCCGCTCCTACATACCACGTGACATCGTGCATCGGAATCAAGATGTTCTACTCGCATACCTTGTGCACAGGCCACCGCGTCTTGTTGACTTGGAGGGCTTCCTTGCCCCGTACACTGGTCCATTGCTTGTGGCTCGCGTACATCTTGCGCGCTTTGGCAACGTCCACATACAGCGGGGCGTTCGACACCACGGCTGCGAAGACCTCTTTGGCCAAGTTGAGTGATTTGAGTTGATGCATGTCGACGGCCAGAGCTTCCACCAAGGTCGACGCAACGACCGAACTATGGGAGAACCGTGTGAGGATGCGACACAATGGCCCTTGGATCGGTCCCACCATTTCGCCTTTTCAGGTACATTTTTGTACGCCGATTCTCCAAAGAGAGCGGGGGGATAGATGTCGTGTGTGATCGTGGGGAGGGGCTGTGGCGATGGCACGTTGGCAGGCAAGGGTGGCCTCCCTGGACTGGAAGGCGTGCCAGGAGAAGTCGGTCGGTTGGCAGCCTTGGTCGACAGCTTTGGATGAATCTGAAAGCCCAACGGCCAGTTCAGGACGTCCAAGTATCGATGGTAAGGTTTGATGGGGGCTAGAAGGGCAGTTGCCGATGAGGTCAACGGCGTCATGGCGCCTTGCGGGTCGACGACATCTTGTTCTGTCGTGTCCGGAGCCGCCGCGTGCGCAAACGACTGCTCAACGCGGCAAATGCCCTTGTACAGCACGTAAAGTCGCTTGGGCAGCTCATTCTGCGCGACGATGACGTCGCCTTTGTGGAATCGAACGAGGATGCTATGGCTCACGACGTGGCCGAGGTCGCTGTCGGAGAGCATGCGGAAGACAGGGGACCGCCGGAATACGTTGAACCGGGCGTGTTGCTCGACGAGCCATTGCCCTTCCAACGTTGCTTTGAACGCGGCGGGCGTCAAGTACATGATTTCAGTCCGCTCGTCCGCAAGGTACAGCATCAGCGACGAGATGCTTGCTCCCACGCAGCCTACCAGCCATCCATTGCGTTTGCCAGCATGCCCCGGGACTGCGTGTTCATCAACAGGCAGACCTGCTTACCAAAAACGTCGCCAGTGCGCAGGCGATGCGTGCTCGAGGAGGCCATCGTGTCCAGGTCTTGCCCAGCGAGCGTCAAGTTTGCGTGGACGCTCAGCGTCCCGCTCACACACACGTAGAAGGCGTGAGGGTTGTCGTGAGCCAGGTAAAACGTGTCGCCGCTGCGCACGACGACGTAATGGAGGGCTTGACACACGTTTCGAAGGATATCTGGCGGGCATCGTGCGAAGAAATCGTATTGGTGCAAGCGGGATTGAAGGAGATCGAGCATGGCGGGGGACCTCGTCTCGGGGGCAGCGCGGCACGCAGCTTTTTCGTCCTTCGATTGGCAAAAGAGGGCGTCAAAGAGCCCGCCCGTGAACCCTGCGTTTCCTAGCATATGCTCCAAAGATTGTTCTTTCTCGCTGTCATATCCGAGCCCGCCGGTTCGAGCAGCGGCCTCGGTCTGGGCCACCTCGCCGGCGGCAGTCGGCGCACCGGACGCTGTCGCTACTACCGAAGTGGAGCCCAGGGTGGCATAGACCAGGCGCGCCTCATCGTACCGCCCCATCCGACGCAGAATCAACGCATGATTGCGGACGTATTCCGTCGGGACAGGGTGTCCATCCGCCTTGCCGACGGCGAGTTCTTGGGCGGCGACGATGGCGTCGAGGGCGAGGTCGTCCTTGCCGACCTTGAGCAAACTCACACTCCGATTAAAATGCGCTTGATGAAACGCCGGATCGATGCGAGTTGCGGCGTCGAAATCGGCGAGGGCGTCGGTGTAGTCGCCCAACAAGTCGTGGACGCTGCCACGCAGCAAGTGGCACCACTTGGTCAAATGATTTGGCTCGGCTTTCAGCGACGCCGTGCACCACTGAATGGCCCTGTCGTACTCGCCGACCTGAAGCGCCAGGTAGGCTCGGTTGATGCGCTTGAGCACCGTCTTGGAGTCGCACAACGTGGATGGGTCGACGATGATGCAGTGCGTCAGGAGGGGCTCCTGTGCAACGAACGTGACGAATAAATGTCAGCGTGATGCAAGCCGTCGAGACAGTACTTGAGGCACGGCATCGCGGGGTGGGCGTGTGCGAATGGCGTAGTCGTGTTCCTGGGCTTGCGTCGCGACGACATGCGGCCGGGTGTACATGCACTCGATGATTTGATCGTGCGTCGGCGCCGCGGCTTCGTTGCGAAGGAGGTCTGGGTTCAATGGCGCGGGCGTCGACGGCTGTTCGTTCTGCGCGTCATCTGAATCGGACCGACGGAGGCCAAGCACCGAGTGTTGGATGGTCATCACTTTTTGAATCTGCTCCTGCTTTGTGAGAAAGTTCTGCCGGTCTTGGATCTGCATGTCAATCGTGGACATGCAACCGTCGTTGGGGCTGCCACCTTCTGCCATCCCGCCGCCGTTTTCATCAAGCTCGGTCAGCGTCGATGGAACCTTGCTCGACCGTCGAAATCCGCTCGACGAGGACAGAAGAGATCGCGCGCTCACTGTGTGTTGGATGGGCTGGGGCACTGCGGATGCGCGATGGCTTGTGCGCGGCACATTCGCCGGCTGGGGCATGAATTCGCGCCATTCCTACTCGAACAGTCATGCCCATAAGCAGCGAACGGGATGAAGTGTTTGCATAGGACGCTGCCGCTGGTCTCCGCGCTAATCCATCCAATTTTGACGAGGCAGCGGCCGCCGTTTACGAACAAAACGTACGGCGTCCGTGACGTGGAACGACGCGGTCAATTCGAGCAAGCGATAGCAGAGGATTTCGGAGGGCAATGAATCTTCGAAGAACCCGCACGCGCCAGCGTCCACACATTCTGCCAGCATTGCCTGCGCCAAACAACCCATGGTTTCCGCTGATTCCTCGTAGGGCTCCTTCGAACGGATGCCGTACCTCATGGCCCACGACGCTGGAGGTGTGCAAAGCAATGGGCACTGTCATGTGCTTCTCTCGACATGTGTGGATGAAGTCGATCGCTGTGTCCTTCTGGAAGCGCAGCCGCGCGAGGACAACGTGCACATTTATCATCTGGAGGACTTGGAGCGCGTCTTTCGTGGACCCGGCCACGACGACTTTGAATCGTGACGACATGGTGGTCGTCAAGTCATCTCGTCTGCATCGTCAAGCACCCAAGCTGTGAGTTCACAACGACAGTCTCGTTCACAATACGAAGTGGTGTGGACCAGTCGTGGTCCACCGACCCGGCCCCCGACACACCAAAACCCTCGGAGAACATACCGTTGGCGGTCCGAGTCCACGAGGAGGATCGTTTTACACCGCACGGCAGGCGGAGAACTGACGTGCGCGGCGACCTTGGGCATCTTCGGGGTTGCTTTATGCTTGGCCACATTCCGCAGGAACAAGCGGGCGGTCGAGTTGAGGTTTTTATCAAACACGTGGTCGTGCGGCGCGTTGTGCGTCTTCAGCGCCCGGTGCAAGTCGGCATCGTGCACATTCAGCCCGAGGGCCTTCGCCGACGCCAAAACCTTGGACGCGCGGACCTTCTCCGAGTGCGCTACCATGCACTCGTCCAACTCAAGCGTTTCACGGTTACAACGAGTATGGCAATTGACAGGTCAAAATGAGACAAAAACCACACGAACAAAATAACTGCTTGGTCAAAAATGGAGCAAACAGGACGATATAGCGAAAATTGCAAAGGCATGGGACAAAAAAAACACAAAATAAATTACTTGGCAGGTTATTGCGAGTCCGTCGCAGATAAAAACGAGGAAACGGCGTCTGGAGTGGCAGACAAGTCGGCAGGCTCGACATCTTCAGAGTTGGGAGCAGGCTGTTCGACCACAGTCGCCACGGCTTCTGCGGGCTCCGAGAGCGCTTCGACGGCTGAGGTATTCTCGACACCTTCAGCATCGACATCGGGGACCACTGCTAATTCAGCAGCGACCAATTCCAAGGCATCTTCGCCAGCACCTTCAACGCCTTGAGCCACAGCTTCAACGTACGCTTCTTCAGTCTCGACAGGAGCTTCGGCCGAAATCACGATTTTACCGAGAGCTTCTAATGTTCGCCCCTCGCCTTGGCCTTCAGGCACCGCTTCCATGATGGCATCCGCCGGCTCGATGACAACTTCCTCCACCGGCAGTTCAGGTTCAAAAGAAATCTCAGATGCCTCCTCCGCCTCCGCTTCAACGATGGCTTCAGTCGGTTTGGCAACAATGATCTCCTCGGTGGATACAAGTTCGAGAACCGAAGTCGCAGCAGCCACTGCAACTTCAGGTTCTTCCACGACCGCAGCTTCAACCACAACTTCTTCACCAGCAACGTGGTCGGCCAAAACCTCGTCAATAGAGGTCTCCATGGTTGCAGTAGCTTCAACAACGCCTCCAGTCGCCACATCAGCGATTTCGCTCATCACTTCTGGCGCCTCTTCAACGAAAAGTTCCGCGTCGCCAACGAGTGTCGAAGGTGCTGCTTCGTGAGCAGCAACTTCGTCGACAGCCGCATCCGATATCTCAACATTCGCTTCGGTTTCAACAGTAAAGGCGAGTTCGTCAGAAGCGACAGATGCAACGACGAAGGCCTCCGGGGTACTTTGACGGTCTTCAGGAGAAGCGGCCTCAAACACTTCAGATTCGTCTGCGGAGATCAAGGCTGCGACACCTTCGTCTAAGGTCTCCGCAGGTTGCACATCCACCGCACTTCGAACTTCAGAAGTGGGTTCAGGGACGGCAGGGGCGACGTGAACCCCCGTGTCCATGATAGCCCCAGAAGCATTGTCCACGATAAAGTCTTCAACTGGCTTAATCTTGTCGAGAGGATCCACTTCAATCTCTTCAATGATCGAGTTGTTGTCTTGTTGAGCAAAGTCCACAGCAACGACTTCCTCGGCGACTTGTTCCGATGCGTCCGCCGTCGTTGCAACAAGTGCATCTACCAATGGAGCATCGGCAACAACAGCATCCTCGTCCACATCGACGGCAATCAAGCCATCCACCGAGTCGGCGGTCACAAAGGGATCAACATCGAAGGTCATGGCATTGTAGAATGGGTTCCACGACACCTCGGCAGCCACGCTGGTGTTCCACGCGCAAGTAGGCAAATCGAGTTTGCGTTGATTGGAAAACAGAGATGGCTTGGGCACAATGACCTCGAGAGCAGCCAGCGCTTTGGTGTCGGCTGCGATTTCAGAGGAAATGTTTGCGTACACCTTGTCGGCCCAGGTGACCTTCAATGGGAATTGCAACTCGGGGGAGGCAGCTTTACCAAATGAGACGGTTTCATCATCACCAACGACGCTGTCATTGTCGGCATCAGGGCTGACAGCAGCAACACTTTCCAACAACTCAATCTCGTCGGTTCCCACAAACGACGCAGAGGCAACAACTTCCAATGGCAAAGCAACGTCAACAGGCTTCACGTTACGCTTCCACAAGTGGCGGCCAGAAGACCTTAATGGGGCCTTGGTCAATGAGGCCTTGGGCGCTTGAACTGCCGCAGCTGGCTCCTTTTGCGACGGGTCGATCAAAGATCGCAAGGCCATCGCGAGCGCATCAAAGCTGGATTTGGGGAGGTTCAACATAGGTGCAGCTTCAGATACCTTTTCTGCGACGTCAGACACGTCGGTGGCCGGCTCCATCTCAGCAACTTCGTCAAGAATGGTTTCGACTTCCGATACGGATTCAACAACTTCAACAATAGCCTCGGGAACAGCCTCATCTGCGGTTTCCTTGATGGCATTCACCTCCACCGGAACCACCACCTGGGCTACTTCGACTGGAGCAATCGCTTCAAAGTACGTCGTGTCGGGGGAGTTTTCGTCGGAAGCCATATCAACCACGCTTTTGACCTCAGGAGCAAAGACGGCAGCATCAACTTGATCAATCGTCTCGTCAGAAACGACCGTGGATTCGCCGACAGCTTCCGCTGTGACAGGTGCGGCATCGGCATCTTCAGTCAAACCATGAGATTCAGCCTCAGCTTCCTTAACTTTCGCGTCGACAAGCGATGCATTCAGAGCAGGAGCGTTCAACTTTTGAGCTAAGGTCACCAGAGGCAGCACTTCCACTTCCATCAAATTAAGACGGGAAGGTTGTTCCATATTTGAAGGTTCTTGCGACGAAGGCTTCTTCAGGTTTTTCAGCTTCATAATGAGCGCGATTTTAGTGCTGACATCAGGTGTCACGGCCACAGATGTTGCAACAGAGGCAACAGCTTCCTTGAGGGGCACGTCAGCTACGTCCTTTACAAACGCAGGCTTTGACTCCTCTTCAATCTGTTCCAATAGCAAGTTGGCCTCATCCACAACTGGTTCGACCAAGTTGGGCGCTTCCACCACGTCGTCGACCGAAGCAACAACTTCGGCCCACTTGGTTTCCGTTGACGGAGCAACCGATGGGACGTATACTTGCTTGAGCTTTTCCACAATTACATCGACATCCAGAGGTGCTTGGACGACTGGGGCAGGGGAGGTTCCACTAGATGAAGGGACCAACAAACCACCACCCACACCGAGACAGAAGATCAGGGCGCCAATCATGCGTTGTGAAGTAAAACCAGAAGAGTTGGAAGCTTCCTTTGTCTTGGCCAGCGGCAGAGCTTTCGGCATTGGGGCTTCAGTCGCCAATGTCATGCTGCGACGAACAGGCGTTGGGACCTCAGGAATATGCGCGGTAGAGGCAGTCGATTTCAACGCCGACAACACATCTTCATGATATTTGGTCAACAGATGCAGTACGTCCGACTTGCTTTCCTTCGTCTCAGTTGCGAGTTGCGGTAGGTTCAATGCCTTTAGTTGGTTCAACATCAAATTTTGCGCTTGCTCCGACTGGTTCATAAAAGCAGTCATGGCAACAGACAGGTAGTTGACGTTTTGGGTTGTTTCGCCTTCCTTGCGGCTTTGAAGCGCCATCAGTTGGCGTGTAACGACGTCCAGTTCATGCTGCAAGGCAGTCTTTTCCTGCTCGACACGGTTGGTCATCTCGATCTGGCGTTCGAGCAACTCGCACTTGACACGGTGCTCCAGTTGAAGTTCTTTCAGCACACTCTCCATCGCCATCATTTGTTTTTGAACCTTGTCGACAACGTTGGCCATTTCGACTTCTTGTTTGCGCAACTTCATGCGGGCTAATGCGTCCGACATGCCCGTTGATTGGGCCAACGCAGATGAAAAGGTGGGACGGGCGTACTGGGCATGATAGCGTGATTTCTTGCGTTCGCAAGGGGATGCCGAGAATTCTGAGCAAGGCGCCGAGTCGGCTGTAGAACGTCGCTTCATGTCGGCAGTCGACACTTCCCAAGCATTGTCCATGGCCACGGACGAGGTGTTCGTTTCAACTTCAGATTCCAGGTGCATTTGTTCTTCGCACACAACAGTTTTCGTCGTCGTCGTCGTTGTTGTTCGAACAAAGTCAGTCAATGTGTTGGGCTTCACCACTGTTGCGTGGAAATCGACCTCCTTCATTGGATAGTCCGAGTCTGTGTCAGCATAGTCGTCGCCAAAGAACACTTGACGCTGAACCACGCGTGTTGGGGAGCGGGAAGGGGAGCGCACAAGGCGAGACTCTTCGTACTCTTCGACCGACGACCGTGACGAGGTTGATATCGTCGATCGGGTGTTTCGATACAGGGGGGAGTGCAGTCTGCATCTAGTGTTCACGATGCTAATTTGACGTGCACGGATGCGGCCTCGATGATCCACCATGACGCGATGGCGGCGCGGCAGCAGTTAAATATACCTTGCGGTTGGGGGCGGCTTGGGAAATGAATCGGACGGGCAAGACCACTGGAAGTTGCGCCCACAAACTTTCGAAATTCATTCAAGATCAGCATATATCCATTCTCTCAGTTCGTGGTCAATCAATTTTAAAACTGATGTCGACTTCACATACATTCCCCATAATTCAAAATCGTACTTCGTTCTAACGTATCGGCAGGTACCTTCTCAAGTATGTATTCTTGCAGTCTATCTATCTTAACAGGATCTCCGCACACCGGCTCGTCAACCCCCCCTCTCCCGGCAAAGTGCGGATTCTACATACAATTTTCGATTGCGCTGAATCTAATTAGTGGATTGGATAAAAAGAACATAAAAATCAACCAATCCCAGATCTCTATTTCGTGTGATGGATGTTACCAACCCTCAACGATTCTGCTGACGTCGACGGAACCGACACCCGCGATGTCTCTGCGTCGGATGGAGAAGGAAAGGCCGCGCCAACGAACCCAACGGCTGATAGTTCCTTCCCATCACTGCATCCATGCACTCCCATCAAGACACGATCGACTCGCACACTCTCTTACAACCATAGACGTCACTACGCGCGACGGCTGCTACACGTCCACGGCACCGTCCACGTCATGATGGTACGGCTGCAGGGCAAGCAAGACAGCTTCAGCAGTCGGTCGGTCTCGTGGATTCACCTGAACGCATTTTTGGATAAGTGCTGCTATGTCGTCCGGACAAGTGGAGGACACAACGGGTCTATACTTGCCGAGCACAATGCGTTCGACGTCGCCGCGGAGCGTATCGTCGCCATTCAAGTCAAGATACGACGAAGAAGAGGATGGGACTCCGTGATCCAATTGGCAAAGGAGGACGCCAAGGGCGTACACGTCGCTGGCAGCACTGTGGTCGCCGCCGTTGAGGAGCTCGGGTGCTGTAGACGCCAAATGCGCCCACACTAACGACACCCCTCCTCCAACCCCTTTCTTCGCTTGACTTCGACGAAGGCCGTAGTTGGACAACTTGGGGTGACCGTCCGCCGACAACAGCACCGATTCTGCATGAAGCGTTCGGTACACAATGCCATGTGCATGCAGATACACCAGGGCGTCCGTGACTTGAAAAGCAACGACCCACTTGGCTTCGTGGAACTGCCGCGTGTGGCCGTACTGTGTCATGTGGGTCTGAAGCGTGCCACCTTCCATGTGCTCGGACACGATTGCGACATCGGACGACGTGCTCCACGAGACACCGAGGCACGTCACGATGTGTTCATGGACGACTAACACGCACGTTCGCGCTTCGTCCATGAAGGTCGCAATGGAATCTGTCGGTGAGTTTGGCTGCAGCTGACGGATGGTGACGGGCGCGTGGACTTTCCAATACCCAAACGAGACGACGGCAAGACCGTCGGCGTGAAGCACGTGAACAGAACGAAGATCGGAGCGGGCGAGCCGGGCACACGCGACGCTTGGATCAAATCGAACGTCGTGGGCGCCGATGATGCTGCTTCGTTTGGTAGTCTTGGGCGGGGAGTGTGTGAGAAAGCTCGCCGACAGACGCCGCGAAGTCCGAGAAGTTGTGAGGACGCGTGGTAACATTGCAGTCGGTCGGCGGAGCAGGTAGAACGCAGCGACGATCACGCCGACAACGATGACACTCACAAGCGCCACGGTCACAAAGATGGACGATGCAGACCGCCCGGTAGGCGAGTCGCCTGTGTGTAAGTGATGAGGACATGCGTTGCTCTGGAAAGGATATCGTACCCGTGTTCGAATGTGGAAGCGGCGCGATTGTGGTGGGGTCGTGCATCGTGTTGGCACTGCTTGCATCTATGCAAGAGCCACGAGTAGTAGTCTTGTGGGCTCAATGCGGTAGCTCAGCCGTGATGTCGAAACGTGTCATGCTTTGATATCTCCACACGAGATGAAAGTGTACCTGAAGGCTCGGTGTCGTTCATGAGCCGCAACACACACAGAAAGAAGCGTCCATTCTGCACCGATTCAAATCTCGCGCCAGGGATCGACATGCATGACGATCCTGCGACTTGAATCGTGACGTTGACGCCAAACGACGGGATGCGCGACAGGACGCCGAACGATGTCGAGTCGACAACGAAGTCGTTGAGAACGTTGTCGCTTAGGTCTCTGTGGCAATTGTCAGGAAGGGCGGTGAGTGATGGCGACGACATACAAGGACGTGAGGGTGGGTGGAAAGGACGTGCTTTTTATGGCTGTCACGGACGAGCGTGCCAAAGTTCTGCACTAGGTCGAAGTGGTACGGGAGGTCACTGGACTCGTCAATGGACGAGGAGGGTTGGCTTACAAGGAGCGGAGGGTTCGAGGGAATCGAGTTTGGCTGGTCAAGGCGTGGAGGTCTTGATCAATCAAAGAACTGTGCATGACGCCGATGAAAATGCACTGTGGTGACGACATAACGACGTGGCATATGCGACGTACAGTGACGCTGTGGAGGATGGTCTGCCGGAGGCATCGAGGCTTAAGTCACCGAGATGCTTGATCCCGTTCCTTCGAAAGGATCTACGGGCATCACGGTCAAACATCTTCGCACGTCACTCGAACTTTACACGTGGCTAATGTTCGCAGGCAGCATCTCAACAGAAGCAATCGGGATGTCGAACACGTCCAGATTCGGTTGAATAGCCAAGTCTGTTTGGTTGAATGTGGCGACGACATCGCATTCGATCGCGGAGATGATGCATGCCGCGGCATGAAGCGGACAACGCATCGCGGTGAACACGTTGCCTTGCACAGGATACATGCACGTGGGTGCTGCCGCCTCCGCCTCCATGTCGGTGCTTGACACTAGTCGATGGCAAGTGCCTTGGACCGTGGCATCGTGCGAGTGCGACGGGAGCCAGAAAGATTTAAAACAGGATTATCCAATCAAAGCGTTGCAATTCACAACGTTCGGTATATTTCAGAAAGCCGTTTCGAACCGCGCCACTGGAATTATAGCAAATATAACAAACGAAAATCCTGGCCCGAGCACGGTGTTATAATTTGCTATAATCGGATAAAATCCGATTTTCAAGCTCAAAGACGACTTGACTTGTTTCAAACGAATGCAACCAATTGCAACTCCTCTACCCCTTCCCCCGATTTTGATTGGCCACGGGTTGCTGCGGTGAAGGTCTCTCGAGGCACGTGATGGCGGCGACGAGCGGCGACACCCATGACATGGCCGATATGATGAAGGTGTACACGGAAGGTATGCAAGCTCAGTTTGGCGCCATGTTGGACAAGTTCCGCACGAGCATGGAGCAAAGCGTTGGCATGTCTCGCATGATGAACGACATGATGGAGCACCTGCTTCTGCAGAGTCTTCACGTCCGCTGCGAAATCAAACAGAGCTCCGGTACATGTGCGCCGATGCTTCATTTGGACGTGAAGAACTCTGGCGCGATTCCGATCCCTGTTGTGTGCTGTGCCATCTCGATCCGCCGTCGCTTCCCTGAAGTTTCTAGTGATGCAAACGACGACCCTGTCCTCGACTTCAAGACATCCCCTGAAGATGTTGACGTTGGTGCCCACGCGTCGGCGGTCATCCCTCTCAACCTGCCCACCATCGATCAGTACAACGGACAGATTATCGTGTCCTGCGTGAGCCCAGGAAGCGGCCAACGGCTGCAGAAGACTAACGACTTCAGCGTGTACTTGGTACAACAATGGTCGATCTCTCCCTCCTTCGAAAGTGTCGTTGACGTGCCTTCGTCCACCAAGTCGGCACTTTTGGACGTCGCGCGCCTTCGGGACGTTCTCCAACTGTCTCCAGCCGACGGAATCGTCCTTGAGTCCCAAGGCCACTACGTCGTCCTCGCGACTTCCTCTCCCGCCTTCGTCCTTACTGTGGCGCTTGTTGATAGCACGACATGCCATGTCCAAGTGTCCGTCGCTGCTGCGCCACAACCATCACGATGGACTCCTCGCGACGTTGTGCTCGAACTCGAAGCGCTGGCGCATGCTTGACGCATGGTTATGTTGTGTCTGCATTGTGCAATGTTGCTTCATGGCGAGTACGGTTGACGTGCGCAAAATTCCGGCGAGGCCGGCGTGCTATGTTGTCGGCAGGAACGACGAATGTTTCGACTCGTCTTGGGCACGAACGCGACGCAGCAACTGCGATCAGGCGCCGATTCGTTTGAGTTGAGCGATAAGTTAACGGGTTATGCATGCATTCAGCTAGGGTAAATCGCGTCGCGGCGGCGAAAAGATGCCCGTCCCCGCTTGATGGGTCGCTGCCAACCCGTCCGTGTGGTGACTATGGGGCAATCGAGCGAGGGGTGGGTGGTACAGCATGGACGGGCTGCCCGTGGTGCACTGTTCTGGGTATGGGTACGGCAACGGGTCGGGAAGGAAGGACGAGGGATGCATGGCTATCTCGTCGTGCGGCAACGATTGGTGGTGGTAGCTGGGATGGTGCGACGGGCCGCCCGATGACGGGACCGTGTACATGTTGGCCGATGCTGAAGGGGGCACGGGCAATGGGCTAGAGAACGCATACGGCGGTACCCCGAACCGATACCCAGAACTCAACGACGCTTGGTGCGCCGCGTGCGACGCCATCGTGGCCATGTGGTGCTGTTGATGATCGTGGTGCGGGTACGGTGGTGCTGACTCGGCCTTTGTGAAGTACTCGTGCACGACGTCGCTGCCACTAAACCCGCGAGGCATCGACGCGTCGGTCGATACGACGTCGTGGAAATACGAATTGAAGGACACTGATCTAGGGAAATTGCGGGTGTGGGGGTCTTGGCTGACTGGCGGATACATCGTGTGGTGATACGCAAGAGTTTGCCCAAACGACACGTCCAGCGATCCCATGTTGGTGGCGGTCATCGGCGACGGCAACATCGTGGGCGGCGCCAGTATGAGTGCTCCACCGGACATTGCTGCAGCATGATGCGAACACATGCCTTGTTCTCGAGCGGGCTTGTTGCACGACTCGAACGTGCACCGCCGTCCACCCCCGTGCTCGGCGCAGTACCCGCCACCGCGATCGTTCTTGGTGCAGTCGGGGAACTTGCACGCGCGGTTGCCGCCGTGGGTGGAGCAGTATCCGCCGCGTTGGGCACTTTTGTCGCACTGGTCGTGTTGGCAGCGGTGGCCACCGCCATGCAAGCGGCAGTACCCCCCGCCTTGCGAACTTTTGTTGCAATTGGGCTCCTGGCAGCGAAGCCCACCGCCGTGGGATTTACAAAATCCGTTAGACTGGGACGAACGACTGCATCCTGCCATGGAGCAGCGCTTCCCGCCGCCGTGGCGGATGCAGTACCCCTTGCCTTGTGAGCTGCGAGTGCAGCCTTGGGCCATGCAGCGAAGGCCACCGCCATGAGCTTTACACAGGCCTTTGGACCGCACCTTGTTATGGCAATGTGGGAACGTGCATTGGCGGATAGCGACGGATGCTCGTGCTGTAGTGGTTGTTGCGAGTTCACGCGGTGTCGTGGGGGCCGAGGACCCCCCCACGGAGCTCGCGGGACTCGGAGATATGCTACAGTGACTTGTGCGACGCATACTGACTGGTTTGCGTTGGGCAACGTTACGATGGATGGTCGAGGTTGCTCGAGGAAAAACGGAAATGACGGCAACGACACAAGTTGGGCCACAGAAGTGGGAGCGGCGTTCGAACCAGCAGGCAGCGTGACGCGAGCTGAGGTGGGCGGGGAGGTCGCTTGGGACGACGGATCGCGACGCGGCCGTTTGCGGGAGAGAGGAAAGTGAATCGGCCACGACACCCCCGACTTATCTTGCGACACATTGTGGTCTCGTCGTGTATGTGGACCCTCCTCCAGTCACATATACAGACGCGTGGCCATGTGGTGGTTGACAGCAGGCCGCCTCTCTCTTGATGAGGTCCAACGCAGTCCCACGCTCGTAATCGACAAAGCCACCCGGCTCTTAGACAGGCGCTGATCATTCCCCTCGTCGGATATTTCGCTGACTACGTCGAGGTCATGTTACACGTGAGCCCACGGCGATGCCAGTCCACCAAACACTGCGCCATCACTAGATACATGAGGGACGCCGGCAGGCTGTGCAACAATTCATGTAAAGGATGACACGGGCGCGACTTTCGTCGTCGGAGGGGGCTCGGTAGTGGGCGACCGACACTCGTCCAACGTTGTGTCGGGTTGGGCCGAGCGCTGCCTACCGTGGTGTGTTGACGAGTTGATCGAGCGACGGTGGGCCATCGATCCGTTCGAATCGATGTATCAGCCCATCAAACGTACACGTTGCCCTAAGCGAATGTCGGTCCGAGTGGTTGGGTTGACAAGGGCAATGTGCCCCACTGGGTCTTTTGAACCAGCCGAGGGTACCTTGCAGGTCCATGGACAGCGCCCAAGCAAACGCAAATCCCCGCCGCCGCCTCGCACCGCCCTGGCTGCGTGGGTATACATACCACATCCAGGTACGCCTGCGACCCACAGTGAGTTATCTCGATACGACGAGGCAGGCTGAACGAGTGCACCTCTGGGCGCGGTGGACGGGAAGCTCTTCCCTCTCTCGCACACGACCAAGTACCTACTGATGTCGCAAGGGACACTTAACCCGAATGGATGAGGGTGTCAGTCGTGATGACGTAAAGGTTCGTGGCCGTAAGTATGCATTTTTCATGGGGCTGTGTCCATTCGCTTGCAAAGCCTGGGCGGCGGCATACCAACGCGCAAGATGGTCTTGATGATGCCACCATGTACTGAGCCCCAACGATTCGCCCCGAGCCCCTTCACACGCAATGCAATTCGCTCGGGCCGATGGTCAAATTACGCACCCCCCCCCCAGGAGCAGGGACCGTCCCCCCGAACGATCAACCTTCCCATTCCTCAACAATCCGATCGTTTGGTGGCGTCGTCGGAATCGAGGCAGTTTCGCAGGGCGGCGCGACACACCGCTTTACAAATCCCCACGCACCCTTTGGGTTGCGCGACAGTAAATCGCGATGTGTACCGGGATATGGAACGAGTTCCCCGGGGCGGTGGCTCACGCAGCCGGGTCATCTGCCGGGCGGACTCACTTCAGGCTGCCGTCTTGACGGGGGCGGCATTCTATCCTCGACACCGCTGGTTATTTCGCGGTGGTTCGAGGACAGATGATGACGATGCACCTGATCACAACGCCCCACGTGGCAGAACTCGGAGATATCCACGCCACAGAATCGCAGGATATCCATCAGTGACACATGGGCACCCGCGCCATGCATGGTCTTGGACGTATTTCGCTGAGATCCATGCTACGCCAGGGTGCATATGCAATGCGCCATCATGTTCCGGCCATCGGTCGTCACTTTACCCATCCAGGTGCTGACCCTGGTCGAAGTCGCCGGAATTCTGTGCCAAATCAAAAAACGTGGACAGTGCCAGCTTTCGCGTGTGCCCCATTTATGCCGGACAGCGTGAAAAAGATGGACACGAACGGATCGAGGTATACAGCGATGGACTGCGCAGAATGGACTGTATTTGCATCCGTCCGGGATGGCCCCACATGAGATTGCAGGGGCGCTCCCGTCGCCCAAACTGGAGGAGACATTGGCTGTGCTGCCATCGCAAACCAACGACTTGACAAAGCCGTCGAACGGTGGCACAATCGTTGAGGTGGACACGGACGTACTGCTTGACCACTCGACCCACTGTGCCACGCTGGGCGACGCAAGTTTCGACCAGCATACGAGCATCAACCTTTTTGCTGCGGACGACGTAGGAGACCGTATCTCGCAACATGAGAGCCCCGTCGTTTGATCAAAAAAGCGAGTTGATGCCGACGGTCTCGCAGCCTGTAGATGGGATGTACGGTGCGCACTTCATTGCACAGGCCGAAGAGTCCACAGACGGTCTGACCAGACTCTCGCCCCGCGCTGTCTGCGACCGACTGGGTCCATCGCTCGACTCCCCCATGCGCTTTCCCTGCACCCTTTGAGAACGGACGGGGAATGTCGCCCCGGTGTCGCCCCATGCTACAGTAGTACTTCTGAAATGTGCCTTCCAAACGTCAGAAGAACGGTCGTGGAAATTTCTGCAGACTCTCGCCAAACGGTTGATATTGACGTGTTTCGACACGATCGATGCACATGTTGCACAAACGAAATCGCTTCCGTCTGCAGGAATCGATGCGTCGAGAATGGTCCGATCGTCGCCCCACGAGGCAACGACGCTCCGTGCTCGGGCGAGTCCTCCCCAACTTAGCCAAGATAGGCGTTCCGGGACAGTTCCCCCAACCTAAACACAGTACGGGCGGCGGTACACACGGATCGATTGGGACTGGGATGCTGACTCCACTGTGTGTCGAGACCTGCCATGTGGATATGTGTACTCGAGAGTCGTTCGGGTCATGATGTTGATCGGCTGACGATCGCCTTCGTCGACGCTTTCCCATCGTCACAGGAGCGTACGGAATACACTGCCAAGACACATGACATTGCGATCGCCGCATTCACCATGGCGAGTTCGCGGAGAAGACAAAAGGGGTTGTCGTGGTGACTTCCTGGATATTTACTTGAGCGACGGCGGGCATGGTGGCGGTGGTTCGTTCAAGGACAGAGCGCTTGACCACCAGACGCCACGTGCATGGATGAAGCATGGCGAGGTACACGACTCATCTGCCAAGCACTTGAGGTTCCGAGCACTGCGCTTGGGAACACGTTTTCTGCGCTGATTACAACTCGTTTTGCAAGTTTCATTGTGGCGAAGTCGTTGTCCAACTGTTTGACGCCGAGCGTTCGATGCGGCATAGGCGGCGACAATGTTCAACCCTTTGGTAACAATGTCGAGGGGACCTCGAGCCCTAAAACAGATTCCTCGCTCTCGCTTTCGCAAATAGACCTGGCAGTAGTCGGGAACATTTGTTATTCTCACAAGTAGCTGGTTAAGGTCGTGCGTCGACTGGGCGCTCCCATCGGAAGCGCCTTTGCGTCAACATGACCGATATGGCCAACATAGCCCCTCGTTCACCTCACTGAATGACGCTGTCGGAGCGCCAATGGTGCACTGCAGCTACACGTCCGAGCTAAAGTGCGAAGTGATTTGCGCAGGCCTACCCTTTACAGTTTGGATTTGTTTCAGATGTCGGCGATGGTCGATCAAGTCGCGTGAAAAGGAAACCAAACGGACCACGTGATCTTACGTTTTGTGGAGTGCGAGAAACGTGGTGCTCGGATGCGTTCACAGTCTCTGGTTGACGCGGACCTCCACGGCTCAACGGCTAACCAGGACTGTAGTGTGGTGGCGTCGTTTAGGCCCACCACAGTCGAGACGTGTCCGTGCTTCGTCGTCTCACCGGCGACCTTGACCAGGGGAATGGTATGGTTGAACGATTCTGTTGGTACCTTGGCAACGACATCTACCTATGGACGGTGGCCGGCCCAGCATGCTATGTATGCGGGGCACACTGCAGCGCTTAACGCATTCACGAGAGATCGTGATCAAGGCCCGACTTGTCCAGCCAGCGTTGATCCATGACGCCACCGAGGTGATACCCGACGGTTTCACGCGATCGGCGAAACCGACGAGTGTTTATAATGTGTTTTAAACACTCGCTCGGCCGCACGACGGTTCGGGACTATCGAAGATCTCAGTGCCGCTCACAACGCCATGTTTCAGCAAGCGAAAGAAGGCACGTGATGCATGGAAGCCCGTCCTGCTAAAGCAGGTGTTCATGGCAACGTGTAGGTGGAAGCTTCACGTCGACGGTTTACGGCCACATCCGCGACCAAAAGTACGACGAAGCGGTGCGCATCCTGCAGATCGAGCTACAGAACCACCCGTGCAGTCGCGCGGCGCTGTCGCTTCTCGGTACATTCGATCGCATCTCTCGCTTTCACTGACACGCCGCGGTCTCACCGTGTGCATTTGTTTGGTAGGATATTGCTTTTACCACATGCAGAGCTTCCACAACGCCGTGTCGATGTACGAGCAATTGTGCAAGCTGTTTCCGGACGTCGAAGACTACCACCTTTATTACGCCCAAGCACTGTACAAGGTTTGTGCTGGCGACGTCGATCGCAGACCTGATCGAGTTGGTGTAGGCAGGGCAATACGATGCCGCGTCTCGCAAGGCGAGTCAGCTCGAGAGCGAGCAGTACAGTCACCGCGTACGTTGTGCCTGTTCGGTTCAAGAGCGATCGTTTTTTCAACGGCGATCAATGTTGTGCCCACTAGGTCGCGCTGCTTCGAGCTGCCGTGTACTACGAGCAAAACGACATCAAGGCAACACAGTCGATCCTGGACCAGTGTTTGCGGGATGACCCGACCACGATCGTGTTTGAAGGAGCCATCGACTTCAAGGAAGGGCGGTTCGACGATGCCAAAAAGAAATTTGGCGACGCCATGAACGTTCTCGGGTGCGTCCAACACGGTTGATAGACTGGAGTTTCGATGACAGCGGCAAGGCAGCGACTGGTCCTTGTATCCCAAAGGCACTTGTGTGGGCGGCAGCGGCAGTGTGCTTACCAGCAGTCTCATTTTGGCCAAAGAGCGCTGCTCATGCCTCGGTGCCTTCTTGTAGGTACCAGTCAGACCTGTGCTACAACATTGCGCTCTGTTACTTTCGGCTCAAGCAATACGGCAATGCGATGCGGCAAATCGCGGAAATCATCGAAAAAGGCGTACGTAGCGGACGACTTGCTGCGACAAGATCTATTCCTTTGGCCTTGCTACTTCAAATGCAGAGCGAATTCTCTGGACTACACCGTGAACGCATTGGCGTGACGAGACCTCACGTTTCGACATGTCGTGCAATCGACAGGTGCGCGACCATCCCGAACTGAGCGTTGGGAGCAAGAGCGAGAGCAATTCGGATGTCAAGAGCGTCCGCAACTCGACAGTTTTGCGCGAAACAGCCCTCGTCGAGGCGTTCAACTTGAAGGCTGCGATCGAGTATGACATGAAGAACTTCAAAGTGCGTTTTCTTGACCATTTTCCACGGCTCTGACGATTTGTTTGGTGTCGCAGGGCGCGCGCGACGCACTCTTGGACATGCCCCCTCGCGCCGAAGAAGAGCTCGACTCGGTGCGACCTGTCCACACAAAGGACCATTGGCCTGACGTGTGGCGTCCGCCGCGTGCTTTTGTCTAGGTGTCGCTGCACAATTTTGGTTTGATGAACATGGAAGTGGACCCGAACAGTGGGTTCAAAAAGATGAACTTTTTGCTCCAGAACCCGCCATTTCCCGTGGAAACCTTTTCGAATCTCTTGGTACATTGTCAAGTCGAGCCACGGGCGATGGACGCCACCCCCGGGCGTGCGCCATCCTCGCCGTGCTTACTCGTTGGTTGGCACACGCACTTCACACCGGCATCGTTTAGATCTTGTACATGAAGCACGGGTTTCACGACCTCATGGCGGACGTGCTCGCCGAAAACACCCACTTGACATTCCAGCTCCTGTCCAAGGACTTTTTCGAGTTTGTCGATGCCAGCGTCACGGTAGAGTTGCTTTGGCCCTTTGCCACACTGGTCCCTGACGCCGTGCGCAGTTGCAAACGTCGCCGGAGGAAGCGTACCGCAAGTATGACGACCTCGCGACCAAGCACGTGGACATCCTGCGCAAGCTCACGCAGAAGATTCAGGCAGCTCGGATTGCCCAGTCCAACGAGGAGATCAAGAGCTCGCTCAAGGCATACGACGACGCCCTGGAGGACTTTATGCCGGTGCTCATGGCCCAGGCCAACATTTACTGGGACCGCGGCAACTACGCCCAAGTCGAAAAGATATTTCGGCAAACGGCCGAGTTTTGCTCCGAGCACGAGAGCTGGAAGCTGAACGTGGCGCATGTGTTTTTTCTGCAAGGTGCCTGGACCGTCGTCGCGATGGCTCATCTCGATGGGTTTATAGGGAACAAGTACGAGCAAGCGATTCAGTACTACGAGCCATTCGTCAAGAAGCACCAGGTCCATCGTTCACACGAAGCACGGTACCTGCTTGCTGACACTGCCGTCTCGGTGTAGGAAAACTTGCTCGAAGTCCAAGCGATCATCCTGGCGAATCTGTGCGTGTGCTACGTCATGAACACTGACAACGAAAAGGTGTGGGACTCGACACTTTGGACTGGACAAGACGTGCGTGTAGGCGGAAGAGCTGCTCCGGTCGATTGAGCGAGAAGAAGAGGAAGAAGCGAGCCGGGACCCAGACAAGCGCCTCTTCCACTTGTGCATCGTGAACCTGGTCATTGGGACGCTGTATTGCTCCAAGGTAGGCGCGGGTTGCATCGCGGCGGATGTTGAACACCGCGGTGTAGAACAACTACGATTTTGGCATTTGCCGCGTTATGAAGGTAGGTACAGTCGGTGGATGCCGCTCGAAGGGATGGATGGTTCACATGAACGTGTAGAGCATGGAGCCGTACCACCGCAAGCTAGGCACGGACACGTGGTATTACGCCAAGCGGTGCTTCCTCGGACTCGCGTTGACGTTGGCGAAGCACATGACGACGATCCGGGACTCGACCATGGCGGACATCCTCGTACTGACTGCTGCGCTGTCTTTCTTCAATGGCATCACGACTCGATGATTGTTAGGACTTTCTCGATGCCGCGGACACCCATGGCAAGGATATTCCGACAACAACTGGGGTACAGATTCTCATAGTGAGATCGTTGGGTGGATGGGTTGCTCATGTATGTCGTTCGCGTAGATGGAAGGAGCGTCTGGCAACAACGAGCTGCCTCAACACACTGTCAGCTACGAGGTGGGGTTCTCCTATATTACCGCTTGCATCGCGTATTCAACTTGCTTCCAGGCGCGAGTGATCAAGCGCATGTTCCTGAAGCTGCGCGGGTAAAGATGGCTGCCCCCTGTCGTGGTGCTTTGCAACTTGTAACGTTCAAGGTGTAAATAATGCACGCACAAATTTGTGTCGATTTATTCAGCCAGAACACTTTGTTCTCCTTGCATTTTATCTTGGAAAATGTATGCCTTCCTTGTCATATTCTGAGGAATGGACTCTTTTTCTTCCATTTGCGTTGCTTCAGCAATTTCTCTGATATCGTAAGGTGCAAGATGAGTCAAAATATCCGGTCAAATTAAATCGTGGGTCATGACAAAGATACAGCCCATGTCAAGGTGGTGTGTGTGTGGTGTGCGATGACGCGACACTCCGCTGCCGCGATCGTCGTGGTGGCGATTGCGACGACTGGTGGTGGTATTTTGCTTTATCGCGCATGGAAGCGCCAACACCACACGCGGACGCATGTGCTTGAGGACATGCCGCACCAAGTTGGCGGCCACTCGTGCGACAAGACGAGCTTGAAAGTATACCAAGGCAGGGTACTCAAGCCGTTCCAGACAAAGAACCGAGGTGAAACCGAGCTCGCGTTCTACGAGCGCATTGCATCCAGAAGCTTGCCGTACTTCCCTGTGTTCTACGGCGTCGTCGAGCTTCCTTCGTCTCAAGAACTTCGACGATACCTGCAGCTTGAGGACCTCTTAAGCGGCATGACGCAACCCTGCATCATGGACGTCAAAATTGGCACGCACTCGTACGACCCGACTGCAACCCCGGCAAAGATCGATTTAGAAGCAGCCAAGTGTCCGCTGCAAGCGATCATGGGCTTTCGCCTGCAAGGCATTAAAGTGTACTGGGACACAACGGGGCAATTCCACGACTACGACAAGCACTACTTTCGCGCGTTGACGACGGAGGACGCCATCGAAGACAGTTTTGCGCGATACTTCGAGAACGGCCACCACGAAGCACGTTCGAAGCACCTTCAAATTGCAGCCCGCGCCGACCGCGTGGTTCAAGTACGTTTCCCCTACTCAAACACGACTCACGCCGGAGCATGCGCAGTTTCTACGAAAGATCAAACGGATTCGAGCATGGATCGCGACCCAAACCGAGTTCCAATTCATCGCGAGCTCTCTCTTGTTTGTGTACGACGCCAGCAACGCCGCCAGCGTCGACGTCCGGTTCATCGATTTTGCACACGTCCAGTTCGATCAAGGCAAAGTCGACACGGGTGTCCTCGTTGGGCTCGACAGAATCCTGTGCATTTTCAGACACCTCCTCGACTCGATCGAGTTGCCGTCGAGCCGGCGCGAGGCCATGCTCGTCGACGACGTCCAAGACTAGTTCGATCTTGTCCCGACGCAATGGAAGCCGTGCAACGTGGTGCTGTCCTTGACTTGCACACGCCAATTCCACAAACGCTTCAAATCCAAATTTCAAATTTTATCCCCACCACGCCGGCTACTGATTGATACCATCGATCGCTCTGGTCAGCGACAGCACAGTCGGTCGTCGCGAACCATGGACAATGTGAAACATGGCAGCAGCGACAGGCACTCATTGCCCGCCAGGAAGAAGCTGGTACGTGTTGGCTTGGCCAGGATTCCAAGTGCACGGGTCATTCCGGATGAGATCGGCGCGGCGCTGGTCGGCATACCGGCCCTTGTAGTACGCAATCATGTCTTCGATGTGGCCTGCATAGTCTTCAAGCAGAATGTCGACTGTCGGGACGCGGTCGGGGTCATACTTTTGGAAGAGCTGGAGCAACCTGGACCGTTGGTTCACCTTGTACGTGATCTAGATGCCGCCACACACCACCAAGATGAAATGCATGCGCGGCACAGGACGATGCTTGTCACGCACCTGGAGGTCATCCCAAATTTCTTCGTTCGTCTTGCCACCAAACGCCAGCAGCTCGTCGACGCTGTCGACGGCCGCGATGTCGTACTTTTGCAAAAACACAATCACTTTGTCTCGAAACGTTTTTTTCGCGCCTGGCTTCGACAGCTCCTTCTTGTGCTCCAAGACCTAATTCGGTAACCCGGTTCAGTGCACCACACAGATGGACGGGGAGCGAATGCAGCCCCACGTACTTGTTGGTTCACGTAGTCTGCACGCAGAGCTTCGCCCGTGTCAAGACATCGCACTTCCATGGGGGAGGCCGACGCTGCGGCGATCCCGCTGCCTCGCCGACCTGCATCACTGCGACTTCTGCTCCACATATCCATCAGCTCGACATGATCCGTTTAACTGATGGTTTGCAGCCAAAGCTGGAATACACATACCGTGGCTTCACTTCAAACGGGTTCAAGGCATCATCTTTGGTAGAGCTGCCTCCAACGCTGTTTCCTCGAACTCTACAGCAACGACCCCTCGTTCGAGATCGGATGGCACGCGCATCAAGTAGGGCCAATTTACCGGTTGATGAGCGTAGCCATGGCTTTGGTCGGCTGAGCCATGAGGAAGCCTAGTCCAAAAGACCACGGCGGCAGATGAGACCCCTTGAGCAAGACACGAACACTTGCTTACGTTGATGCGGCTTAACTTTGGGAGATGGCGGCTTCCTCGCGACTTCCGGCCCCCGAATGCCTTCCATTTTGGACCCCGTTGGCTTTCCTTGGGCCTTCCGGAACTTGGCGATTAACTTTGCGTTCAAGTACGTGGCGATCGCTGGCTTAGGCAACGACAGCCGTTTTCGAAATGACTGGGCAAGACTGTGCCCCCCGCTACCCACTTGGTTGTTGTCCATAGTCGTCTTGGCCGCCTGGCACAGCGCCGTGTCTTCAACGGCGTCCACGATGAGCTCGAGCGGGCGACCGTCCTTGGTGTAGTAGTATCGATAGCACTCTACGAGCTCAACCTCGAGGCCTTCGTACTGCTTGAGGAGGGCCGTCGCCGTATCTGCGTTGTCCGGCTCAAATTCTTGCAAGATGTCCTCCAGGTCCATGCGAAGCTGCTCGAACTCTTGGTTCGTCAGCGTGCGCTGCCGCAGCTGCTTCCTGGCCGACAACGAGGGCGCCGATGGCTTGACGGGTTGTTTTACACGGTCTTGGAGGCCCATCTCAACGGAGAAGATTGTGTGTGTTGGTGGCCCACTTGTTAAAGAACAAAACAAAGCGTCGCCGTGGAAGGATACCAGTCATGAGAGCGGCGGGGGCTATATATATCCGCTAGCTGCTTCCCGTGTCGATGAGATCCGAAAGTTAGAACATATAACTGGAGCTGAACCGTCGCACGCACCTTGGGACAACGAGCGATGGTGAAAGGGGAAGAACGGACGGGCATTTGAGCGCTACAGAGCGATGAGCATCGTGTGCAGTACGAGTGTGCGGAAGAGGTTGTGTTGACAAAATGAGCCCCGTACCAAGTCGAGTCGTCGCCTTGAACGCACGTTTGGATGAGGATTTCGTGACGATGGCTTTGCCGGGACGATTCATTCTTGCGACTTGGATGGTAGTAGTTGACACACAGACGGGTGGCCTTCTTCATGCTCTCGCCCAGTTCCATCATAGATGGCTTTTGCCAGGCTCAGATGGGACCACGGGTGCTTCCTCCACCCCCACCGCAGATTGCCGTCATTGCGACATTTGCTTCGCACCTCGGCGATTCACGTTTGTTGAACTGCATAGATATTGGATGCAATCACGTTGCTCGATCACACCTGTTCCAGTAGAGCGCCAACTTTGACCACTTGACCACGCCGACGTTGGTGGCTCTTACGTCTCCCTCCAACCCAGGAGTAGGGACTTGGATGCCGCTTCCGTACAAGAGGAGCCAACAGAGAAAGCCACACATGGACGGATAAACTGGCGGTGCCTATCACAAAAGAGTCTGCTTTGGTCAGGTGACCCAAGACTGCACTTCTCACGGACGCCGTCCATGAAGTTGCCACAGCCCACGGGACGGTCCGCGACTACAGTCTCCACAGAGTGTTTCTGGATGCGGGTGGGTGGCAAGCACACTCAACAGTGCACACGGGTTCATGACTGGGGGATGCCGACAGGTGGCCAGGTCGAGGCGAGCGCGGATGAAATTGGACTTCTGAGTCGGGACTTGGCTGGATGTCGGGTGCGTCTGAGTCAAAAATCACATTCGCTAACCTTGGTTGTCGCTGCCATTCCGCCTTCAATGGTTGCCTCTCTCAGCTGTCGAGCCGCAGCTGTCGCCGCGCTGTCGATGACCTGCGCTGACCTCGGCACAGACTGTAGTCGCCAAGACGTACTTGTGGCTCTGAAGCCCTTGTCCCTGAATGACGCCAGCGTCCGTGCTTGCACCAAAGCCGTCGGCATCAATGTGCTCGACGCCTTTTTCGGTGCGACTGTGCCAACACAAGATCAAACTACCGCCTTCCGCAACTCGATTCCGTGCCAGGTTGTGTTTGAAAACATTACGCGCACACTTTCGCGGACGTGCCACGGCGTGGACGACCTGGCCTTCGACGAGTTTGTCGCCCATTTTCGTCGCGAATTCGTCACGACCACCGCTCGTCCAACACCGTCAACACCAGACACGATCCCGACAGCTTCACCACACAGGGATGAGAGACGGTGCATCGAAGTGAGTGTCGAAGGCGACGCGACATATTGCATGACCGCGGGGCCGGTTTGTGCAGGGCATGGGACAAACCCGAGTGGACGCATGTGTCCTAAGAAGGGCGACATTTCCGTAGGCGAGTGTTTTCCTCACCTTGAAAGCTACGTACAACTGGGGAAGTGCCAGGCACCACGCGACAGTCAGTGCCAGCGAGTCAAGACGGGGGCGTGGGGTTGTGTTTGGAGCGATGACGATGCTACCTCGCCCATCGTAAATGCAAGGGCTATCGAACGGCACGAAAGCCACACCTCCAAAGTGAAGGACTCCACGTCGAAGAGCACGACAGGTCTGGGGCAAGGCAACATCAGTGTTGTCGTGGCTTGTGCTGTTGCTGGAGCCGTTGTTGTTGTGGCGGTGGCTTTGTATGCACGGAGATCGCGGGGATACCATCGCCCGAACGGAACGACACCGGCTCCAATTTCGATTCATTATCCCGCCGGCCCTACGGCCCCAACGCCCCTTCATCCCACTGAGTCGTTGTCGCCGACGCCAATCGCCCCCCGCGCCTGATTTAGCAGGTGATATTCCATTGCGATCTTGCGTTTGGCGCGCAACTTTTATTGAAACCTGGAATTTCCAATATTAAAATCAAATGAAACTGGGGAAAAAAGGTTAAATGATGACGAGGGAGCAAAAAGACCATATCTTCAAATTTCGCGGCCCGGAAGCACCGATGGGTCGCATAACCACGAGTCCGCGCCGCGCCACCGACGAGCACCTATTGGATGTCGCTGCGCTAGAAATGAGATTCCAGACGGACCTGTTGTACGGGCTTACGTCTGCGCAAGTGGCGGAAGTCCAAGCTCAACCAACGTATCGACCCAACTTACTCCCAACTGATGCCGAGACGGGCCATGGCGCAATCCATGAACTCGTGGCCGTCTTGCGTGAAGGTACATGGATCCACACACGTGCTGAAAACCTCGTGCCTGGCGACGTCATTTCGCTGAAATCGGGACAGTGCGTCCCAGCTGATGTCCGCCTTGTGGAAGCCGAGGAATTAGTGGTGACCCACCACACGCTGACTGGCGAAAAGACTCCGCTGCCGCGTAGCGCGACGACTGTGTCGGTCTTTGACTCGCCTGGTATCAATCTTCCATACATGCAAGCAGCGAACATGCTTTTCTATGGCACGACTATAACCCAAGGAGTTGGGAAAGGCGTAGTGTGCCGAACAGGCGCAGACACTGTGTTGGGAGTGATCTCAAACACAGTGTTGCAATCACAACGGTCTCGCGATCCGACGCCAAACACAAAGTTGTACGACGACGTCCGAGCACTGGGTGTCGTATGCAAGAACGAGCAAGTTCCTGCATGCCTTTCAAAACTCACGGCTCTTGTCGTTGAACACACCCGTGTCATTCAGCGTACAGTCGTGACTGTGTCATTTGGCTCCAACATCCCCACGATTGTGACTGCATCGGATGCTGGTTTACATCCTGCAGAAGCGTCCACGGAGGACGTCGAACAAGCCATCGCCACGACGATAATGAAAACGTACAAGACCAACTCTGACGCGATCTCGCTAATGCGTGCATTCTCTGCGTGCCACTCGCATCCGTCGCTCAACTCTCGCGACCAGTCGGCCATTTCGCGTTTCTGCGACTTGTTCACGGGCACGGATCGATACGCTGCATCGCTGTGTGGTCAACTGAGTGGCTGTGACGTATACGTTCACTTTGACCCAGAATGCTGCGCCCATGTTGTAGTATTGCAAGGACCTGCACATGAAGTGTTGAGCCGTTGTGGTAAAGTGCGCAAGCTGCAGGGTGTTGTGACTTTGGACACTGCCGATTTGAAGACCATCGAAGGGATGCTGGAAGGGCTCGAGGCTCGCGGTGAGGACGTTGTGGGCGTTGCCGAGCTTTACTTGGACCCGGTGGAGTTTCCTGTGGGCAACATCGCGTTCGACATCACAAAATTCAACTTCCCAACGTCTAACATGACGTACCTTGGCGCGTTGGGGCTACAGGACAAAGCGTCGCCGGACCTGGTGAATTTGGTATCTCACTGCCGTGCCGCCGACGTGAGCATGTTTGTGCTCGCGGAAGAGTCCGAGTTTTTAGTCGACGAGTCGGTGTCATTTGTGTCGACCGTGTTGACGGCTCCGTCGCCGCTGCAGCATTACCACCGCCGGCGCTCATCCGGTGCTGCGTCCGTGGACAGTGCCCTTGGCGATACGGCGCTGGATTTCCCAGTGGATTCTCACGCTGCGCGGTTTGTCCCGTTGACTGACGTGAAGTTCAATGTGAAGGACACGACCGCGGACACGAGCGTGGAAGTCTCACCATTTGTCGTTGCGGCGTCTGCCATTTCAATTTCGAATACCTTTGGCGAGTGGAAGCACATTTTAATGGAGCATCCCATCGTGGTGTTTGAAGGCACGTCGCCTGCGCACATCGACCTGCTCGTGGAAACGTTGCAAGATCTGGGTGAAGTCGTCGGCCTGATCGCATCTGGCAACGCGAATGCACTATCGCTCCTCAATGCCGACGTCGGATTTGCCATTCCCACTGGCAACGTTATCGATTTGAGCGAAGAAGCTGCTGATGTTATACTTGGGTATTCGGAGTCTCCTCGGTACGTCTCAACGACATGTCGATGGATGCTCCACAGCACAAGGTTTTGCGATTGATTGTGATGCGGTGCCTAGCGTCGACGCCGTACGTATTATCGAGCTGGCCAAACGAACTGCCTCGGCAGTGACCGGTGGCAACCCTCGAGACTCGGTCACGCGAGCAGCGGGTAGTGGCGCGTCCGTCGGGAGTTATGTCCCTGGTACCAGTTTCCATTGATTGCATGAAATTGTGGGATTTCACGGACGAATGTTGCTCGCAGATGGCCCGCATGGCGAAGCCAAACACTTAATTGAATGCTTGCTTCGGGACACAATCGCTGTCGGTCGCGCGTTGCAATTAACGCCAAACGAAATGGAAGAGTGCTTCCACGTAGCGATGGGTAACATGGTGGACGGAACTCACGAATATGTCTGAGGCGTGCGTGTTGTTTTCACGGTAGGTCACGGGTCGATAAACTCCCTCTTCCACCCCTCGTCATTCATGTCGTCGATGACGGCAGCGTTCATGATGTTGAGTTGTAGGCCGTCATCGCCGTCCTCACGTTTGTCGACGTCGTCGACGCCGCCGTCAGGTTTATCCCCATAACTTATGCATCGCTCACCACCAACAGCATGTGTTGTTGTTCCATGGGTCGGAAGTTCTGTGGCGCTCCAACTGCATTCGTGCATCGCCCCATTCCTCATGCGTTCTACTTGATTGGCGTGATTCTCGTGTGAAGGTAGATTCTGGCTCGCACATCCCCATTATCGTCCGCGATGGAATGCCGCCTTGATTCCACATTTGGTGAACATGTTTGTGGAGTGCACAATGTTCCGCGTCGGCAACAACGACAAAGCGGCTACAACACGGCGGGATGGACGGATGGGCGGGTCACCCACGTGATGCGCCGGGAATCGCAGACAGAACATTCAACGCGGAGGTATCATTGAACCTGCTTTGGTGTGGATGGCAATCTTCGAAGTCTAGTCAGCCGAGTCGGCCGCATCCAGGGGCACCTGGTCAACAGTGGATGACGACTGCGACTACACGTCCGTCCTCCCTGACAAAAATTCACCGCATTCCGCCCCTCACCTGCGCACCATCCTATGCGATATCGGGCGATTGTTACCTAAGTAATCCTGTGCGCTGAGACGATGGAGAGATTCCATGGGAATTGCTGGGCCATCGAACCACGCTTTGCCACACAATGTAGACTCACGGCCATGCCACACCGTTCGCGCGGAAGAGAGCCAGGTGCCCACTCGCATCCACTACGAGCGGGTTCTGCCATTCTCGAGGGTTTTTTTCCGCATGGAATACAGATTCGAACCCAGGAAGACGTTCCTGTTGAACGTAGTAGAGGCCACGACTCCATGTACAAGAAAGGCGGACGGCCGCCACGGTCGAGACGGTCCATCCTTCGCCCCATCGCGATGGCCACGACAAGGATCCATTCCATCTGCATCTTGACGCACATACGCCCTGGACAGAGTCATCTGTCGCTTCGTTTGTGTGCCGTGGATATTCCTTGACTGTCCTCTCGAACAATGTATGGTGATGCACACGAGCACAAGATTTGTGTGGCGAGTGGGACAACCACCCACTCGACGTAGTTCAGTCCTGTACACGTGTCCTCATGGCGCATCGGGATCTCTGCCGTGTGGTGGTCCAGCCTGGTTCCTACGTGACATATCCCGTGTGTCGACACCCACTGCAGCGTCCACTTCTATACCAACTTCATGCGCGGTGGCTTGCCGTCGGTCGCGATCGACCGCGCGCGACCACATCATGCGCGCCACCGCATGAACCGAGTCGCCAGCACCATCACGGTTCGTGCACGCTTGTTGTATCGCTGTGGCAACATCGCGCTGTCTGATCTGCCCAATTCCGTGGGACCACAACGCACGTCACCCTGAGTCTTGCCGCCTGGGTGGGTGGTGTTTGTTGCGGCAGGTCCAGGCACCAACCGCTGCGCCAGACCCGTGGAGCGGCTGCGGTCGCAACCTCGACGTGATTCTGAGCCGCATTTTTCGCGCTGCATGTTTCGCAGATATAGCTTGAATCGTTCCGTCGAGATAGGCTACATTCCTTCGGCGGGCACCGAGGTTGATTCGGCCACATGAGAATCCATGCAACTGTGCGCTACGGGCGACCGAGCCTAGAATATCGATCGCGCCCATGTACCGCGTTTTGCGAGCCAACAGTTAGTCAAAGTGGGTCAATAAACTTATGGAGCATGGGGGGAAGGGGGCAGAAGTGATAGATCGCTTACCCTCCCCCTTAATTGGCGTGGTGGTGGTTCCTGTAATAGAGCGAACGCTAGGGCCGATCGGAACAGACTCTAGTGACGGTGGTGGGACGGCCGTTCGACAGGGCAGCCACGTGGTGGCGCGGCAGCCGAACGCTAGTTGCTGGGCGGTTGTTTTGCTCCATCCTTCCCAGCCATCGGTGATTGTCGTACCCTAGTGTGCAACCAGAGGCACCCACGCAGCCGACATGTGCACATGGGGTACTCTGTACCAACCAGCCCGCATTGTGCAATGCGAAAAAGCGTTCGTGGGTCGGTGTCGACACTGGCGATGGCGCCGAACCCGTCCAAACGGGCTTCGACCACAAGATGCAATAGGACATCCGTTGGCGAACTGGCCAGGAAATGGAGTTCCAACATGCGAATCGTCTGGTCCGCCACCTGTCGGAGGTCGCCGCAGCGACATCCGACAAGCGTGCTCTCGACATGGTGCCGTCGGACCACCAAAGAGTTGCCATGTGTAAATGTAGTCGTGCACTACATGAACAGAAGAGAGGAGGGCGGGAAGTTTCGTCAAAATAGTCTGTTTGGACTACAAGAACCCCGTACTTGTCGCGCGTGGGCGGACACTGTGGCACCACCCGGCGCTCTCAGACTGCCGCGAGTGTGGGACTATCACACGTTGAACATGGCGCCGTGAGACGGAAGAGGAACAAGATGAAGCTAAGTTAAATAAATACACAAGTCCCTTCTCCGCTGGAACGTCTACTTCTTAGCAATGGTGGGGGCTGCCACGATGGCGATTTTGCCCCCGTGAGCCCAGCAGTACCCGCCGGTCTTTGGCCCTTTCGTGCACCCTTGTACTAAGCACATGCGCTTGCCGCCGTGGCTCCAGCACACCCCAAACTTGCGCGAAGCGTTCTGACACCCATCCGCGGTGCATCGCTTCCCACCTCCATGACTGATGCAGTAGCCGAGGCTCACAGCATGCTTTGAACATCCGTCCTTGGAACAACGGATTCCACCGCCGTGGGCTATGCACACCCCACCGGCTTTCGCTCGCTTTTCACAACCAGGGACGCCACACAGCTTGACACCCGTTGAACTGCTCGGCTTGGACGGGGAGTCCGCTGCGTGAGGAGATAGGTTCAACGTGTCTTTCAACGACGGGAGAGTTGGAAACGTGAATCGAGGCGTCACGGCTTGGATTGGGGACGTAAGCAAGTCGCGTCGAGGAAGGGGCATCATCATATCTTGTCTTGGAAAATGATCGTAGCCTTTAGGTGACGTTCGAACGAGTGCGTGGAGAGGAGGCAAGCGTTGGTGATGGATCGGGGACACTTCGAGAGGGAACGGGTGAGCAGAGTACGTGGGACTCTCGACGCCATCAAGGGGCGACGATGGTAACGACGCAGGCAGCGTATGGAATGTCATCGAGTGAGTGGGCGGGAGGTGGACATTGAGACTCGGGAGGCGTTGTGTGCGGGACGGGAACGCCCATGCGGCGGCGGTGGCGGCCATGGTCGGCAAATTCAGGAATGAGGCAAGTTCCACGTGCGATCTTAACACCACCACGTGGTTCAACTCGACTTTGTCGGTATAGTGAACATTAGTATAATTTTCGAACGGAGGCCGAATAACATGTGAAAACGATCCAATCACAGATTTTCTCATGTTGAAAATTAGCCAATCACCTTGCGTCGTCCAAGCAGGGTTGTCGCTGGGCTGGGACAAACTGGGCGAATCAGAGGAACCACATCGTGCAGGATGCGTCGGAAACGTGGACATAGTTGGCATCACTGGTCGAGGTAACGACATTGTCTGTGCCTTCGTATGCCCTCCTCGTGTGCAAGAGGAACGTGATCGCCCTGCTGAACTGGTCAGTGCCGGTCGTTCTGCAGGCGGCGTGCGGCTGTCTGGCCAGTAAAGCAGTAACCAGTAGCTTCTTTCTGCGGACCCACGAGGAGAAACGACCGTGTGTCGTATTCACTTGCACAGTTTTATCCGGTAACGTATCGGGTCCAAGAGGGGTATCCGGCGATGCACCGAAAAATTGAGATTTTCGAAGCAGCGGCTACTTTGATATCTCGGGACTCAGACAACTCTTCTCGTGGGTGTGGCCTGGACGTTGGACCGCGGCGTCGTTCGCGGCAAGCTGCAACCCACGACTCGACTGCACGAGCGCGCGCAACATTGCTGTCGACAACGTCGGAGGGAAGGGGAGCGGGCTAGAGGTCGGGGACAGGACCGTAGTCGACCGCGAGCGGCGTTGGCTCGAGGATCGCCGACGAGATGGCAAGACCCGTTCGCGCATTGAACGCAGGCAAGTCGAGGTCCACGTCGCTTCGACAGTAGTACAGCTGCCTCTCCAAGTGATACATCAACGGCGGCAGCACGTAATGAAACGCGACGCTCTCGGGCGAACAACACGCGTCGTGTCGTGCGGCGCCGCCGATTCCGTCATGGTACTGGACGAGCCAGTAGGTGGGTGTCGTTACGTCGGTAAAGTACACACCTGCCACCAACATGTCCATATGATGCAGGTGCTCGGCGACCGAATCTATGTGCGGACGAGAGTTTTTGTACCTCGAGGTTTATCAGCGTGCCATCGCTCTCGCCGGTTCAAGTCTCGCGTATTGGACGGATACACATTGTGCCACGCCATGCAGAACGAGATGGCGGCGTCGTCCGGCAGCATTTCGCAATACCGGTCGCTCAAGCACGTCGACAGCGGCAGCGACTCGACAACGGTTTGCACATAGAGAGGATTCATGGCGTAGCCAGGGCCGCCCGAGTTGAACACCCATCGGTTGTTTGTGAGTTGCTTGAATTGGTCGCGCAGGTGCTTGTCGACAACGTAATAGTCGACCAAGTCGGGGGTCAACTTGTATCGATGGCTACAACGAGAGCATGACGTGTGCTGCGTTGGTGAGGTCGACGCACCCAAACGTGAGAGGAACGACATCTTGCTGCATCACGACTTCAGGGAGACGCAGGAACGCTTGCAAGTTGTCCACAACGACATACGCGTCGTCGTCCGACTTGTAGAACCAGTCGAAGCCGTCGAATCGATGGTGGTCCCATACATACTGAAGCGTCCTTTTGTGCTTTTGCCACAAGTGATTGTGGTCAGCTTGCGTGTCCAGTTGGATGATGTCTGGCGTGGACGAGTCCGTGGCGTTGCTAAAGAAGAGCAGCTTCGCGCATCGCTGGCCCCATGTATCCTATACCCAAAAGTGATTCAAATCATGCGCACACACAACACATGTACAACGGAACAATGAGTGCGTACTCGAATGGCTTGCACGCGGGTCGTGTGGTGGATGGACATGGTGTTGACGAGGCACAGAATGCGCGGGGCACTCGACACGTTCTTCGCAACCGTGATGAGATTCAACGCGTACTTGGAATGATCAATGTCGACGGCACAGAGCTCATCCTTCGATAAGGCGGCAGCGCCTCTCGAGAACGCAGCGAGGAGGGTCCCCGCGGCGCAGATGAACCGGACAGCCGCTGCCCACATCCTTGGACATAGACAAACTCGCTCTGTCGCATTTGGCAGGTGGTGATCCGCATAATTTGAGATGTATCCGGATATGCACCTTTTCCATTAGCGTTTGTTTTCTAGGCATGGCATGGACCACCAAGTCGTAGATTTGCATCAACACGCCACGAGCCACCACCAACCGCGGCGGTCGATGTGGCAATGCTCCATGCGACTCGCGTCCCCCAACTGAGCGCGTATGCTCTCTGGAGCCCCATTGTAGCTGCATTGGATTCGGTTTCCAAGAAACCGTTTGTCGTGTAACTGTCATTCCGTGTCAGCGACGACGGGATGGACGCGGTCGCCTGGTTGTGCTGGCTTGCGACGTGTATGACGTCATGGACTCTAGGGTTTGTCGCCAAGGAACCTCTCTATGGCATCTCCACAGGCGTGTGTAAGTGTCGATGTCTTCGATGCAGGATTCAGCTGACCATCCGGGTCCTTGTGTCGTGTAGCTTACACCATGGCGGTCACCGTTGGTGGAACAGGATCGTCAAGACGACCGTCGGTCCGTGCCTTCCTTTCAAGTTACGGACCATTCACGGGGCCTGTAGACATTACAATTGTTGTTGGACACGGGTTCTTCGAACATGGCTGTGGCAACAAGTGCATGCTGTACCAATTCACAAGCACTTGGGCCGTTGGCCGTCTTCAACTGCGCTGCGTCGCCCACGTGCGCGTCTACGACGCAGCCAGCGACCAACATATCGGTCAAGTACATTGCAGCTTCGTGGATGTAAGCCCTGTGCTTGAATTTCTCGAACTGAGTCGAGCGCAGGGGTCATGTTGTGCAGGACACAGTGTCGACCACCCATCTTGGCGCTGTCCCGGAATTTCCATTTGTCGCGATTGACGTGCAGCAGGAGTTTTTCAAGGGCGGGTACAACGGCATCCTCGGCGTTGCCTTCGACGCGTTGGCCCAGGCAAGCGAACCTTGATCTCCAATACATGGACCCAAACGATTGTCATGTACCAGCCAAGAGACAATCCCATGACAACGCTGGTGCAAACTCTCGTGGATCGGCGACAAATGGAGAACGTGTTTGGCGTGCTAATGTGCGGCATCTTGCAGCCATTTGCCCGTGGATTGCGTCCATCCAACGTGTCAGGGGCCATGGGTATCGTCACGCACATGAGCTTTCCTCCATGAACTTTACGACTAGTGTTTGGGGGGGTGGCGCCCCCAACTGGCCCTGCATTGTATCGAGGACCAGTTGTGTACACACCCTTGATTCAAGTACGTGCCTCATCTGCACTGCTCCCTCCAAAAGTCTCTTTTAGCCCAAGTGGTATGTCGTGCTGGTGACAGAGGTGGCTTTTAACGGCACATCGCTCCCTCTGCCATGCACAGCCTTTAATGCGCCAAAGGTCCATGACCTTTTGTTGAACATCTACCGCTGATGTCATGGACTAGTAGGCCATCGTGGACTCTGGTACGACGAACATTGTGCTGCCGCCTCCGGTGTATCGCCCCCTCATGGCCATGCTCCGCGATGCAACGCTCCAAGCAATTCCAGACTTTCCGTCGACCTACTTTAGCGACCGATCCGTGTGCTGCGAAGCGTACTGTGACCCAACCAATGTGAACTCGACACTGATGTCGCTCCCGTCGCTCTCGTTTTCGTTCGCGTTAATGGGTCAAGTAAACGACCAAGTAACAGTCACGATTCCGCCCACGTACTACTGGCGCCCCATTGCCGTGCAAAGCGCCGTGGGTACAACGATGTGCCGCATGATCGGGCTGTCGGAGGGAAGCAGCACGATCCTTGGCAACGTTTTTATGGATGGCCTATACACGGTCCACGATCGACGCAACGGGCAGATCGGGCTCGCTGTCGCCGACAATTGCGATAACTTGGCGATCTCGACCAAAACGATCTCGACCTCTGCCATGCCATCCTCGACAGCATCATGGTGCGATTGCCTTTCGAACGCCGAGCTCAACGACAACCTCGTCACGTCAAAGCTCCCTGGGCAACGCGCGTGCTTCATTTGGTATTGGTGGACGTACGTCTTCGTCGTATCGATCATTGTGATTGCCGTCTGTTGCGCGATTCTGTTGTGGATGTGGCTTGCGAAACGGCGGCGCAACAACTACATCCGCGAGGCGCCAGGGCCACCGCCCAGTTTCCTCCAGCACCAGCTACTGGACGCCGAGGGTCTCATGACGCCAAAAGAACCGCCACCTATATCTCCATGCTCCGAAAGCCGCTCCCCGTCTTTCGCCGGGCTCTCCATGTCCTCGACCGCACCTCATGTAAATGAACACATCTTTTAAGAAAAGTCCCGAACGTCGTTCGATGACAATCGCGAAAATTCCTTGTTACTTATACGGATAATTTGTTGAGGTTATCCGGATAAGCCGTCAATAACGCAGACAAATACCAGCACAACACAACCTCCGTGATGGTCGCCCAGTTTGGGACGGTGATTGCGGGGCGGCCCGTCATTACCGACTACATGTAAGGACCTCATCACGATCATACACACTCAGTGCCCACTGCCTCGCGTGTCGTAGTGAGATCAGTCCGACCCAATTCGTCGTTGACATTCCGTATCCAGAGCAAGTTACCGACATCACGTTCTTCATGCTGCCACAATCGCCCGTGCCCCCAGGCTTTGCTGGTACGTGGAGAATACATTTGATCGTTTACATCTTGAAGGCCTAACCGAGTGGTTTGAAAAGCGGTCCTCTACTTTGCTGTACCACATCTCCAGAATTGGCAACTGCTCGGCAGTGTCTTTGCCGAGAAACCAAGGTACTCTGGACAATGCATGGTGTATTGCTAATGTTGGCACGGTGTAGTGCAATCTTTCGGACGGCGTGGCCCACCCATCCAGATGTGGTAGGGCAGCCAGTGATCCAATTGGGCGTGTCCATTGAAAGGTGAGAGATGCCCCTTCCATTGCCTGCAGGTGGCTGAATGACTCTGTAGTGCGGATAATGTGCGCAATTTGGGTATTGAAGCCAGCGGTCTCGAGGAGCGCAAGTCGTTTGCGCTCAAGATCGCCATGGACTTGTTCAACTTCATGTCGTCGTTCTCGACAAGCTCGAACTCAAACATGATGGTGGTACCCACGAACCTTCTTGATCGATGGATCGAGCGATTTGAGTCCAAGTATCGCAGAGATCCCAACTTTATGATGAAGAACAACTAATTTACCACGTCCTGGCTGCCTTGTTACCCTACACACTATCCATCTCATGACATCACACGCGCGCTGGAGACACAAGAGATACTTGAGGAGGGCGCGATTCCAAGCTGCACCTTCACTTCTCCCCGGAACTGCAGCTCAGCGAGTCCCGAGTCCATGAAGCATCACCGAGAGTGCGCCATGCCGATTGTGAATGAGTTTCCAGTTGGCCAAAATAAAGAACATGAGTTCACATACACGCTCAATTGATTGGCTATTAATCCATCGTCAACGGATTTGATTGGCTGTAAGACTTTAATGCGCACCCGCCCTGATTGCCACGGTGGCGCAAATTCAGCTCAGAGAGTAAGTTTCCGATGGATGCATCGGACGGCGCAAGCAAGGCGGCGGCGACGCTCGCAGATCTCCCCCCCCTGAACGACGCCCCAGCTGCAGACCGCACAAAACTCTTTCGCCAAAAATTGCGATTGTGCTGCGTCGTGATGGATTTCAGCGAGCCACGCAAGCAAGTGCGTGAAAAAGATGTGAAGAGGCAGGCGCTGCTGGAACTTGTCCAGTTCTTGTCGGACGGAAAGGTGACATGGAGCTCCCAAGTCGTCGAAGATCTCATGGTGTGCGTGGAAGCGAACATCATCCGACCACTTGGTGGCAAGAGCCGCACTAGCGGTGCTAAGGAGGGAGGCAGAATCGAAGGTTAGCTGCATGTTCCACATCCCATCGACTTGGACTGAATGATTTCAACTCATCTATGGACATCCCTTCGACCTTACTCGGTTCGTTTTGCTCGATTAGGTGTGGAAGAAGACGAGCCGGTGCTGGAAGAATCGTGGCCGCACCTGCAGCTCATCTACGAGTTGTTGTACCGATTCGTCCTTTCCAAGGAAGTTGACACAAAGTCCGCCAAGGAATACTTCAGCAAACGCTTCATGCTGCAACTGCTCAACTTGTTCGACTCGGAAGACCCTCGGGAACGCGACTACCTGAAGGTGGGACGTCGACGTCACAGACCTTCGTCATCTCGGTTTCCGATTACAGACTATTTTGCATCGACTGTATGGCAAGTCAATGGCGCTTCGCTCATTCATCCGCCGTTCCATCAACAACATGTTTTTTACGTTTGTCTACGAGACTGAACACTTCAATGGCGTTGTGGAGCTCTTGGAAATCCTTGGCAGGTACGACTGCTCTCATCGTCCCAACCGAGGTTGAATACCTGACCGCTCGTAGCATCATCAATGGATTTGCGCTACCACTCAAGGCTGAGCACCAGAAGTTTTTGGAAAAGGCGCTGATTCCCCTTCACAAAGTTCGTCGGTCGTCGTCGTCGTCGACACTCAGTGGACACACCTTAGGCGGCAAATGTAGCGCAGTACCATCAGCAACTTGCGTACTGCACGACGCAATTCGTCGAGAAGGACCCATCGACAGCCAAGCCCATCATCCTTGGTCTCCTGCGCTTCTGGCCAGTGACGCAGAGCTCCAAAGAAGTAACCCGTCCAATGGTCTCCGTCACCAACTCCCGTGTTGATGAGGTTGAGTAGATTCTGTTCTTGAACGAGCTTGAAGAAATTATTGAGCTTATTCAACCGGAGCAGTTCGCAGAGGTAACCTGATTTAGTTGCTATGTGCTTTGAGTTGATGTGCGTTGCTTTGACTAGGTCATGCGACCGCTATTTCTTCAACTTGGCAGGTCCATAACGAGCCTGCATTTCCAGGTTTGTATTGATGGGCTCAAATCATCTGCTGAACTCGTTCATGATGGTATACAGGTCTCCCAGCGGGCACTTTACTTGTGGAACAATGAATCGCTTGTCAACTTGGTGGCAGTTCATCGAGTGGAAATTTTGCCGTTGATCTTTGGCTCGTTATACCACAACTGCGACAAACACTGGAACACGTACGTGTCGTTTAAGGTGGGTCATCTGCGTCACCGAAACATCGATGTAGAACGGTCCAAAGCTTGACATTCAACGTCCTCAAGCTCCTGATGGAAATGGATTCGCAATTGTTTGATCAGTGCTCTGCGCAGCTCGACGAAAGGGAGGGTAAGCAGCAGCATACGTTTGAGGAGCGCCGCCGAAAATGGCGCCAACTCGAAGCTGCAGCGTCCGTGCAGTGAGGCCAGCGGATGCCGCAGAGTAACTAACTCGTCAAGACCGAGCAAATTTGAAAATAAGGACTTGGCGCGAGATTTAAATTTGTTTTGGATGCTGCCATACTGAATACGAGGTTAAATTAAACGTACCAAAAGAATAGTAGTACACACTCGGATTCCATAGTCGCATGTGAACTGCTCCGATCGATGGCCGCAACGACATCCAAGGTGGTGGGACGGACAACGTTCGGGGTCGAGGTAGACGACGTCGAACTGCACCGCCACATTGAGCTCTACGTACCGCTTCCATTCCTTCTTCGACTGGATGTGTTGCCGTTCTTGATGCTATACTGCACACTCAGTTTGTGCTCGATACAAGTGGAAGCAGAAGGTCGAGGCTTTGTCGTTGCTATTGCCATTGTGTGTTTTCTGCACGCGTTGGCATTCTTCTCGAGCGAATGGAGCGTGGACATCAAGACCTGGAACGCATACACGCAAATGTCCTTATCGTCAGCTGCGTTGCACAAGTGCGCGTTTCCTCCTGGGGTTGTGGTGAAGATTGACCCCGTCTCGTCGACGCTTCCAAAGGAGTTGTGTCGCTTGGAATGGAACAGCGATGCATGCGAAGCACATACCATGGTATACCTGAAACGATCACATCGTGCCACCATCCAACGAACGATCTTGTGTCGCAGGCTGCGATCCCGTGTGTGTGGTTCAACTACCAAAAGCTCCGTTTTTGTGTGTATGCGACGACGGAGGACAGTAAAGCATCGTCAATAGTCTTTCATCGGCTAGATTACCCAACAGCGCATGTCCTGGAGCACTACACATCGAGTCAAGGGTACCTTTCCATCCAAGACGTGAACGAGGCATCGGCACGGTGGCAAGAAAACGAGTTTGATATTCCAATACCCGAATTTTGGGAGCTGCTCAAGCAGCACTTGGTCGCGCCGTTCTTTGTCTTTCAGGTGGCATTCGTCCCCTGTTCCCATCGACCCCTCATACTGCTGCTGCTAGTTCTTTTGCATGCTGCTGTGGTGCCTGGACGAGTACATGTACTACTCGCTGTTCACGCTTGCAATGCTCGTTCTCTTTGAGTGTACACTGGTCAAGCAGCGTCAGCACAACATGGGGTTGTTGCGACAAATGCGCCGACCGCCAGTGCGGATGTACGTGTACCGCATGGTTCGTTGCCGATCGTCGCGGATCACGACGCCATCATCTCATGCCATTGTGCCAGAAAAAGTGGACGGAAATTACGAGTCGGTCGCTTCTTCCGGGCGACATTTGCTCGATCGGCCGATCGAAACCCATCTATCGCGGCCAAGACATGACCGAACCGATAGTTCCGTGCGAAATGCTGCTGCTTCATGGCGGTTGTGTGGTACGCGGCCGTGGAGTTGTATTGTAAATGGACGTGGAATCAAGTGATTATAGGTCAACGAAGCAATGTTGTCTGGCGAATCCATTCCACTTCGTAAGGAAGCGCTGGACGTGGCGCACTACGACGCCAATACGAAGCTGAACGTCGACGAGACCAACTTGGCCATGAAGAAGCACATATTGTACGGTGGAACCAAGGTGCCGACGCATGCTCCAGCCTTCGTTCGGGAATGTTTAAGCCACGACTAGGTCTTGCAATTCACCAACAACGTGACGACGGTGGGAAGGTTGCCATCGATCCCCGATCCGCCAGAGAAAGGATGCATCGCCTTTGTACTCCGTACAGGGTTCGGAACTACTCAGGTAGCGACCCATGCATCATGTATTATCAGTGCATGGAATGAGCGTTCGGTCACAGGGCAATTTGATGCGGACCATCTTGTTTTCAGCACCTCGTGTCACTGCTAACAACAAGGAATCGATGCTTTTCATCTTATTCCTACTGTGCTTTGCAGTCCTGGCAGCGGGTACCGTCCTTCAGCAGGTATGTCATCGTACCACAGAGAACGTATCCTAGAACTCCACGTAGGGGCTCAATGATCCGACCCGCAACACGTTTAAGCTGTTTTTGCACTGCGTTATGATCATAACGTCCGTGGTCCCGCCAGAACTTCCTATGGAACTGTCGCTGGCGGTCACCAACTCGCTGCTGTCCCTGACCAAATTGAGCATTTTTTGCACCGAGCCATTTCGGATTCCATTCGCTGGCAAAGTCGACGTGGTTTGCTTCGACAAGACTGGGACGCTCACCAGCGACGCGCTCGAGATGCATGGAGTCGCTGGGCTCCAGTCCACGTCCCTCGTGGCCCTGGAGGACCCGCAACAATTAGTGGCCCCGGCCGCCCTTCCCACGTCCATTCAGTTGATTCTGGCAGGCTGCCATTCTCTGGTACTAGCCGTTGACTTGCGTCGTATTGATGACACCTGGTTTCGTAGATGGCTCTTGATGGCAAGGTTGTGGGCGATCCGTTGGAAACCACCATCATGTCGCATGTAAAGTGGAGCTTACGGCCTGGGGACGTCATGCTGCCGCATCTGTCGTTCGTTCCTGGTCCCAAGTCGATGAAAATCGTGCATCGATACGCATTCTCGGCGGAGCTCAAGCGAATGAGTTCCATCGTACGATCGACTGCAACCTCCTCGATCATGAATCACACGGCCACTGCAGGTTGTCCTTGGGTCGTCGACAGAGTCCGACTCGTTGGGAGTCAAATTATTGTCCAAAGGAGCACCGGAAGTGATGGAATCCCTCTTTGCGTCGGTACGGTGGATGGTTCCTTCATGGGCCAATTTCGATCGCTTTCGAGTAGATTCCAGACTATTACACGCGCGTGTACAAACACTACGCGTTGAAAGGATGCCGCGTCCTCGCACTGGGATCGAAAGCTCTTTCGACGAGGGACTTGCAGCGCCTCAAAACCATTGCCCGCTCCGAGATGGAGAAGAATTTGGAATTTGGAGGGTTTCTGGTGTTGGATTGCCCTGTGAAACGTACGCAATCGTTGAAATTGAACGCGACTGAATTCTTCGATGTAGACGACACGACCGACGTGATTCAGGAACTCAAGACGTCCAAGCACGTGCTCGTTATGATCACAGGCGACAACGCTCTCACGGCCCTTGATGTTGCCAAGCAGGTTCCGCGAGAAGGATCAATATTCGCAACGAACGCTTCATCTCGTCACAAAGTAGATCCAACTGGCGTCCCACCTCAATACGTTGATCTTGCAGCCGTCCAAGACGAAGGAGGATGCGCTGGTATGGGTGGACCCACGGTTCGACAAGGCATCGACGAAACAACTCCCGTTTGAATCGAACCAAGAGGTACCCTTGTCCTTCTTGTTTCTCGGCGCGACTATGCCGTCGTCACTCTGTATCGACTTCAGACGATGGCATCGCTGGCAGCTTCGACCAACTTGTGCGTAACCGGCGATGCCTTGACACTCCTGACACCAGCGCAACTTCAGCTTGTCGTGCGCCATGCCTGTGTTTTTGCACGGACGTCGCCGTCTCAAAAGGAAGCCATTCTAGACGCTCTAAACCAGTCAGTTGTCGATTTCCAACACGTCGTTGTGTGGTTACGTCGACGTTCTAGATGTGGCTTTGTCACGGCCATGTGTGGCGACGGCACAAACGACGTTGGTGCCCTCAAACGCGCCCACGTGGGCATCTCGATCATCAACAACCCAGACCAGCCCACAACCACGCCAACCGAGCCTTCATCTAGCCACGTGGTCAAGTTTGGCGATGCCTCCATTGCGTCTCCATTCACGTCCAAGCAGCCAAGCATCCGAGCGACGTGCCAGATCCTGTGCCAAGGGCGATGTACTCTAGTCACAACACTCCAGATGTACAAAATCCTCGGCATCAACTGCCTCCTCTCGGCGTACGTGCTGAGCTCGCTCTACATGTACGGCGTCAAGCAAGGCGACATGCAAATGACGGTCGTGGGGGTCGTCATCGCACTCTTCTACCTGTTTCTGTCGTATGCGAAACCTTGCACTCGCCTCTCGGCGCGCCGCCCGCTCACGCGAGTGTTTTGTCTGTCGGTATTGCTGTCGATGGGGATTCAGTTTGTCGTGCACTTGGCGACGCTCGCCGCGGCGCTCGACGTCGCCCTCCCTTTCGTGGACATGGACGACCCCGCCATGCACCCCGAAGCCAAGTTTCGACCGAACGTGCTGAACTCGATCGTGTTCGTCGTGTCGTTGCACATGCAAATCAACACGTTTGTCGTCAATTATCATGTGCGCAGATGACACGGGGGAATGCCGCATGACGACTGCTTCGTAGGGCGCGCCGTTCATGCAATCGTTCCACGACAATCGATACCTCGCCAAGTGGACGTACCTTTCGTACTCGCTGGTGTTGATCGCGCTGTGGGAGGTATTTCCCCCGATCAACGACCTGCTTGAGCTCGCCTTCCTCCCTTCGTTCGAAACCCAAGTCCACGTCACCATACTCCTTGCGCTCGACACGGTCGCCGTGCTGGGGCTGGAGGCCGGACTCCAGTATCTCACTGCGAGGTACCCCGCGCTGATGGCGTAAAACGCGCCTGCACGCACTCGTCCGGCTTCCGCCTCGCGTCCTCCTCATCTTGGCGGGTGTCCGCGGTGCGCATGTCGACTATTTGCATTACCAAATCGATTTGTCAATATTATACCATAGAAAATGTATGGTGAATTTCAATTTTCAAATAAAATACGACGTCGTTTGCAAGAATGCCGGCGACATTGGCGCAAGCTGTGCTGGGGCCTTTGGCGGACGTCGCCGCGGAAGAGGAACTCAAGAAATGCATCGTAGTGGCGGATGATGGAAGCATTGAAGCATTGCGGTGGTCTGGAGGTATCACCTTCTTGATGAACACCGTGCAAGTGCAAACCATTTTGAGTCTGGATGATGCTGTCGCGGCGGTGTGTCGCTCCGATGATGATGTGTCCGGACCCACAGCGCACGAACTGTTTGACCCATGGATGAACAACGTCAAGAATAAGATCCTTCTCTTCACGAGCCGTTCCCTTGTCGAGCTCGAGGCGGTGCTTGCTGCATTGCTCCATGCGGACGTGGCATCCACGTTCGTCGTCGCGTCGACGCTTCCCGAGCGCGCGTTTGGACCCTCGTTTTCCTTCGAGACTTTTCGTCAAACTCTGCTGCGGGGAGCACCGGTCGATTCCCTTCGCATTCGCTACGTGCCTTTGTTGTACGCGCCCCTGCTGGAATTCGAACCGCGTGGTGACATCACCCACCCAGGCTTGTTTGTCCTGGTGCATCCCAAATGCGCGCCTGTGTTTCCGCTCATGCGATGCCAGCTGCACGGTCTCCAGCACGACGGTAGTTCCAAGGCGTGGTCGCATGCGCAGGACATTTCCCCTCAGGACATCCCCGAGACGACGCGGAAGGCATTCAAGACGTTGGCACAGGTCCTCGGCGCGATCATGGTGCAATGGCAGCTCGAGGTACGCCGACTCGCACGTCTACACCAGCGCATCGGTTGCATGACTTACCCAATGTCGAACCTTGACCGGGTCATAGGTGAAGTCCCGCATCTTTGCGCTGGGCGCCACATCGCTCAAGATCGGCCACACGTTGGTACGTCCTGATGTCCGTGGATCCGCCAGGAATATGACGTACAGCTCCTCGTTCCAGCAAGCCTTTTTGCACGACCTCCAAGAAGAATGCACGATCCAGGAAGTCAAGGAGTACAAGCCCGCTACTCTCATCCTCATCGATCGGTTCCAAAGTTTGCCTGGGGGCGGCTACCTCGTTGAGCTCATGTCGATCTTCCCCACTAGGACATGCGACCTCGCGACGCCGTCGACTCAGCAGCATACCCTGTTGGACCGAATCCTCGAGCATCTTCCCGCCGCGACCCGATCCACTCCAGCCGATTCGAACGTACGTTGCATGGGCATCCCCACGACATGCGCGTCCTGTGCGGCAAGTTCGGCATCGATCGTGCGATGATGTGTGGGTTCTAGGCAGAACACATTACAGAAGTCGGACCACTGTTTGCAACACCGTCGCCCGTTCCCACGGCGACTCCGCGCGACCTCCACCACCGCCCGTCCTCGCTCCTGTCGACTGTGAAGTGGACGGGTGGTATCAGCCTGTGCCACGCATACGGTGGGCCGTCCCAACGCGTGTTTGAATCCCTGGCCATCAAAGCCCCCATCGCAGCTCTCAAGCATCTCGACAAGGAATTGCGCGACGTCGCGATGGACCTGCTCAAGCAAAAGTTGACCCCCGTGCCTGAAAAGAAGGACGCCCACCGAGGCCGCGACGTCATTCTGCGCTGGGTCCAGTGCATCGCCGACTGCACCGACGCCAACGTGACCTGGCAGCACCAAGACTTGTTGCAAATTGCCATCGCGGTTCTCGAAACTCTCGAGCGCATGGAAGCGTCGACGGAACAAACCAAGCGCCTGACTGCGTTGGAGAAACACATTGGAGCATGCAGTCCCGACGCGGGTGTCCATGAGCTCATTCAAGCACTGCATGCATCTCAAGTGACAGATGTGGCGTCGATACTGTCGCTGTGCATCTTTGTGTGTGCCCTCTCTGGGACACAAACTTGGCTTGACGCACAAACAACGTCGGGCTTGCACGAAGCCATCAAGGCGGCGTTGCTCCGAGTACGTTGTCACTGTGGTCGCTGTGCATGGGGACGTTCATTCGGCCGAGATGTGCTGATGCTTTGAAATGTAGAATCCAACGCACCCCTTGCTTCCTCCCGGGATGATTTCTCCGCAAGCCAGCGCAGACCATGCGACTGAAAGAGAACAAGCTGCCGATGATGACAACTGGGACGACTGGGGCGACGATGACGTGGCGCCACCGCCGTCCAACGATTCCAGTGGACGCGCCGTGGCCAGTTCCGAGCTAGAAGTGTTTGTGGGCTCACTGTGCGAAGCGCTTCGGGTACAGCATGAGGTGGAAGTGCGTGTGAACGAATGGGTGGTCGGTAGGAATGCGGCCAGCTATACAAGCCATTACCGGGCCATCGCGACGTGCCAGGCGTGCTCGGTCGACTGATGGCGCTCCTGATTGACCCGAGTGTCCCAACGATTCCAAAGTTGGAGCATGTACGTCGATCTCTGCCGCCGTCGTGACGATTGTTGGGATTTGTGACAAGTAAGCCAGGTAACGGATGCGTCGGAACAGCTAACGAAGGCCGGCATGGACTTGCTCAAGTCTGGCTTGAGTGTGTTTGGGTTTGGGTCGACTCCACAGCCGTCAGGCGCGGCAGCTGCCGTGACGTCTGCGCACTGCAAGCTCCACGACACGGTGGTCCTCTTCGTCGTTGGCGGCATTACGATGCACGAGGTACACATATACAAAAGCAGCTCCTGGCGCGTGTGAATCCGCCATGAGCGACGACGCAATGCAGACCAAGGGTGACTGACGTGCCTAACGCGTGACTAGGTTCAAGCAATCTCGGACGTGGTCAAGTCGAGACCAGACTTGCGCGTACTAGTCGGCAGCACCACCATCACATCTCCATCCAAGATTCAACAACACGTTGTTTGGAACAACCACTGTAAGTGAATAGTAACTGCGTCAACGTACCCATGGATGGCATATTGGTGTACCGACCGACATGGCTGCGTCCATCTTTCCTTTGGCTTTCCTTTCTCCACTGCTCGACACACTCAAGCACGACGGTCATGATCCATGGGTCGTGTGGCACCCCTTGGACGAAGCACCGCTGCGTTAGGCGGATGGATTGCAGCCTTCACGATCTGGCGGGCGAAAAAACGCATCGCGGAAAGATATTTTCACTAGAGTATATCCCAGCATGCAGTGTGTGCCAGCGAGCGGCAATAGGGACTGCCATGTACTGACTAGGCAGACCATGCACCTGAACGGTGGCGGGCGGTGGTCATTCGTTGCCGTTTATCTGAAAAAGGATGGCTAGCCACGCTGTCATGAATGGATTAAGCTAGCGGCGGCGTCATGGGTGTCCCGAGCCACTTGTGTGTGTGCTGCGCCATGATGTCGGATCCGTCCGCAGCCATCATGAACGCATGGGGAAGCGGCACGACGATGTGGCTCGCATCGGTGTATCGTCGCTGAAGCAGTTCGACATGGTGCGGCGGGCACCAGCCGTCGTAGTCGGAGAACACGAATTGGATCTTGTGCTGGTGCTTCGACACGAGGTCGTGGTCGATTTCCTGGAGCTCCTGCATTTCGTGCCACGCCATCTTCAAGCAATTTTGAACGACAATGTGGTCGCACATGCCCAGCGCAGCCTTGTGAAACTCGGGCGGACCGACAAACAACGCCACGAGGACCTTCTTCAAGAGGGTCGGGAGCTGTGCAATCGGCCAAGCCAGGTACGGCACCCACTTGTGGTGCACAAAAAGCGGCATCATCTGCCTGCCGCGCGGCGTCTCGCCAATGTGCATGACAGCGGGTTGGATTAGCACGAGCTTCTCCACCGTCGTGGGAAAGTGGTCGAGGAGGCGCAGTGCGATGTGGCACCCAATCGAGTGCCCGATCAGCACGAGCGACAGCGTCGGGTCTTTCTCGATGCGCTTCCGGACGTACGCGATTTTGTCGACAACCTGCGTCTCCAAGTCATACGCTTCGTTGCCGTTTATCCACGGAAGCGAATGGCCGGTATGACTCAACCCAACGATTTCGTTGGTTTGGCCACTCAGCTCGTGCAACCGACGCATGAACGGCTCGTAGAACCCAGGAACACCGGGGTTCCCAGGGACTATCAACACAAGACGTTTCGATTTCGATGCATGCGCGTCGTGCCGCGCTGGCAGCACGACCTTGTGCATCAACCGGTCCGTTGACAAGCACTCGACGCGAGCCACGTCACTGAGCAAAATGCGGCCAGCGGCTGCCTTGGACACCTGGCGCGCAATAAACGTCATGGTTGCCAGTATGCTAGTTCCCAAGACAAAAGCCACGCGAACGTCGTCCGTCATGGAGAGTCGAATGAAGTCCAAAGCCGAGGATATTGCCGCCGCCGACATTTGACGCAGTTGGCGTTCGAACATGTCAAGCCAATCGGTATGCGGATATCATGGTGTTATCCGGATATCAAAAGGCATACAACGGCATCGCCGACGGTGGTGGATGGGGCGACTCTTGGGCACAGTTCTGGAACGCCTGTGCATCGGTGGGTTGGCGAGCGCGTTGTTGGGGGTTTTGTTGGGTAGAGCCATGATGGCATCGACTTCGTCGCTTGCCACAGATGCAATGCAAACTTGCCGACGCGCGCGACACTTTCAAACGAATCGGTTGTGGTGATCGGGTAGGATCATCGCGCCGACGTCCTGAGAGTCGACCTGACCATTTCGTGTTTGAGTTATCTGTCCACATTCCTTGTTCTGGAGCGCACGCTTGAGTTCGAGACCGGCGAAGAAGACAAAAGCCCCGTCGTCCTTCGGCGATTCAGTTGGGCAAAGCACACCGAAGCAGTCGCGCCCTGTCGAGAAAACGGGTGGTGACACGTGGATGACCCTGCCCCATCGACTCTCATAATCGAATCGGGTATATTTTGGTCTTAAACCCCCGTCCGTGCAATTACTTTCGACACCGTCGGCCCCAAGAGGAAGTGCGCCGACGACGCTCGCGGTCGCACCGCTTGTTTACGCTGACGTATCTTCAAGGGAAGTTTGCCAACTGGGCGTTCGCCAACCGCTCGATGAAATACCAATCACGCCAAAGTTCTTTGTACCGGATCCATCAAGTGGGCGAACAGGACAGAGTGCAGTACTTCGACATGAAAATCGTGCGATGGCCGGCCAGTCTACAGCACTTGGTTGCGATGGCGATCGATGTGCTTCAAATTATGTTGGCCACTCAAGGTGCGGTGGCAGTTCCCAGAGCTGCTGTGGCCCCAAGTGCCCCGGCTGCTCAAACGACTGGGGAAGCAGTCGTACGAAACGTTCAGCGGCAACTTGAAGTGCCCCGACACGGATCCAAGCGACGACACATGACCACCACCACGATCCGGTTGACAATTCATGTGTGAGGGGCACTTTGCCGCTGAGTTGACAGCATCTCCAAACGCCATGTGGTTGGCGGCCATGGCGGCGCGATTGCGTCGCTCCAACCAGTTGCAGCTAGACAGGAGCCCTTCCTTCTACATGCCTCGCTAAGAATCGCCAACTCGACCCTAGCTTCCATCAACGTCTTTCTCGTCAAAGAAGTTGCAATTCCAAACGAGAGAAACTGGCAGGGTCGGCCGTTCTTGTTCCTCGGAGGATTTTCCGTATTCTGCCTCGCACGTCGACGCTTGAGCTCGTTCGTGTGGAAGCGTCGCCGTCCAGGTGTCTCGCATTGCTGCCATGGCACATGACGATCCTCAGTGTCGGCGAAGTTACCTGAACCTCGTACGTCCTCCACGGCGTCACCATGGTGTGGACAACCAACAACACTCGCAAGGACGCATCGCGGAGCACCACTACATCCGCCGTTATGACGATGGTGTCGCCAGTCGTGAAGCAGGCGACGGACGACCCGAAAGCCGAGTCCTTCGATCGACTTGGAACTGGCGTGCGAGAGCGGGATCGGAGTTGTCATGTGCCTGCACTTGTGCTTGTGAACATTGACCTGTGGAATGTCGTGGGCTATGCAAGGTCGAAGCAATGGCACACGGTCAGCACCCAACCAACCAATCTTTCGCTGCTGCTACGCTCTGGCGGCATGCACATAGTTCCCACGTCCGCCTGGGTGCACCTTGTCGAGTATTCCACTGACCCAGCGCCGTCGTTGCTGAATGGTCTCGTCACGCCTCGATGGGGCATCTCCTCGTACGTGATGGGCATCCAGTTGTGATGGAGCTATGAAGTGGACGACGGAGTGCCGCAACCGTTGGCATATTCGATGCCGCTCACGTACTGATGCGGCAGGACAGCGCAGCAAATGAAGCGTGCTTGATACGCACCCTGAGGCCTTCGTTGCTCTGCAGTGTCCGTTTCTGACCGAATGGCAATCATTCGTTCACAAGGAGGGAAGAGACATCTCGAGAAAACACGCGAGTGCGCAGCTATCGATGGACTGGCCATCCAGACCAAGCCATGCCTTCATCATGCATGAAATACTCGAAGAAATGTTGTGTCCCTCCTTTGAAAGCAATGGGAGCGTTGCCGAAACAGGTATCATTCAAAGTCGGGCGATGCTACAACTTGTTGTCTGGCATTCGTCGTTGGCCAGTGCCTTCGCAATCGGCGCCACCGACATGGCCGTCATCGTCGTCGTTGTTCGGGATCACTGTGCCTTCCTGCAGCTGCTTCTTTTGCTTGATCTTGTGCAGTGCCATTTGAATCGTCGACTTGGTGATGTGCATGTTTTGAATACGCGACTCAACAACGTCTGCTTCAAAGTCGATCGCGTTCTCGAGCGCGATCTGCGTGTGCGGTTGTGCCAGAATAAAGACAAAGTCGTCCGACCGAAGGACGGAGCTCCGCTTAGGGGCCGTGTACACGTACGGCAGCGTGACACGGCTGGCCGAGTTTCGATACAGCCCGATTGCAATCACGCTTTCGTACGTGAGCAAGTACGTGTAGAGGTCGCCAAACGTCTTCCCAACAAACGAGTCGGGGAGAGGAATTTGACTGACGGAGCTCGACACGGTCATGCTATCGTGCGACCGCTGGTCCATGCACAGCAACTCTTGAGCAAACCGGAGCAACTCGGGGGTAAAGTAGCTCTGGCAGAGCAAACTGTCGAAAAAGTCAGTCGGGACGCCGTACCCGGCCGCGTAGAAGGGCAAGACGACCGTCGCCTTGTTTTCGGTGTGGCGCTTCTTAAATGTCTTCATGTGCTCCTTTCGCTTGCGAGCCAACTTGTGCGTCTCGGCCAGCCTACGCCCAACCCATGTGAGCAAATATGGTCTCTGTCGAACGAAGGCTCGTCGCTGCTCATCGCTGGGCTGTACACAATGCAGTGTTCTCGAGGCCAGCATGTCGCCATGGAAAATACAATGAAACCAGACACAGGCGGCGGCGACAAACAACGTACGAATCGAAAAAGAGACTCATGCGCGCGACGACCGGCCTCGACGTGGACGATCGCGGACTCACGACGGGGAGTTGTCGCCCCCCCATGTGGAGGTTGGCGGCGATGGAAGTCAGCCGCTTTGTCAGTGTCGTGTCCATCACCTTCATCGTGCTACACGGCGAATCGCGTCAAGGAATGATCGGTCCATCCCTCGATCACCTAGACGCAGCCATTTCGACAAACACGGCAAACTCGGTGTTCATGGCGGCGCTGTGTTTTTCCAAGATCTTTTGCACCGTCAGGTACCGAAAGATGACGCGGTTGTCGAGGCTCTCGCCGTCCATCACGCGCTGCCCAGACTTTTCCGCGAGCAGAACGCAGCATTGGGCCTACAACGCGATGAACCATCGTCGACGTGGTTGCAATCGTTTCGAGCCCTTGGACAATTTTGCCTTGCTAGGTGTCGCACGGGCAAATCACGTCCTACCTTCATGATCCCTGCCCTGAAAAACGTTTCCTTGGAGTCGTTGGTCACGCGCATGAGGTACACGCCGTCGTAGTGCCTCGCCACCTCGTACGCGACGTCGATCGCTTCGTTGCTTGTCGAGACAAACACAATCGGTCGGTAGTGCTTGCTGCCGTCCGTGTAATGCGCCAAACGCAGCGGCTTGATGAATGTTTCAATGGGGACGTCAATCAAGTCGGACACGACAATGATGTGGTCGCGGATGGGTTTTGTCGCGGGAGAAGAAGCGCCGGCACTGTCGACTGGACCGCTGTCGTATGGCCCCCTGTCAGGTTGGTCGGGCTGGTCGCTCGCAACAGCGACAATGCACACGTCGTCGCGTCTGCGGCTTAGTGGGATGCGCGTACTCACGAGGCGTGAATTCGCCTGGAGTAAATCGTACGGCTGAGCGTAGCGCGGCTGGCGAGTCGTTGCCGACGAAGCGTTGGGCTGGGCCGCGTTGTTGCCCCGCCGAACCCACGCGTTGTAATAGTCGGGACAGCTCACGAGCTGCGCGACGTTCCGACTCTCGCACAGCACGTACAGCGTGTGGTGGGACCGTAAGACGTAATTCGCCCCTGGATTGACGAAAGTATGCTGGGGGGCGACGCATCCCAGGGGCCACGGTTGAGGCATCTGGGGGGCCTGCTTGGGCTTGTGCAGCTTTGCTCGTGGCGATCGCTTGAGGGGGTGGCGCAGCTCCTCGGACAGAAACTTGGTACTGATGTCTTTCAGCACGTTCGACAGCGACGGCCGCGTGTACCCCGTGGGGTCTGCGACAAACGTTTTCGACTGCGACGCGCCTTCATGCACGCCGACCAGAATGACCTCGCCGTCGAAAATGTCGTACAGCATGTCCGCGGCTTTGGTAAAGCTCAAGTCGACCAAGTAGGATGGTGTAGTCGTCGTATAAATCTCCATCGTGCTGCCTTCCACGTACTCGCGCTTCCACTCGACATTTGACAATGTGTCGGGCAAGACCGTCGACCGGAATAAATTGCACACAAGGGTCGATAGCCCCGGACAGAGGCAGTTTTTGGCCAGGAGACTCAGTTTGTGCTGGTCGATGCACAAGATATGGTGGAGCTCGTTCTAGACAAAGCAAACGGATGAAGCGATCGCACACACAAACACTTGTGGCCGCCCTACATGCGTGATGAAGTCGGTGTAGGACGGACAGATGACCTGCATGAAAATTTGGAGATCTGTTTCAAGGATGAGAATTTTCAAGACCATGCTGCCCGCACCAGGATTGTAGTTTTCGAGCACGAGTGACCGCAGGACAGTGTGAGCATCCTCGGCCACCGAGTCGTTCGAGTTTTTGTCGGCAAGGATGAAGGCGGCTTGCGCCGTGTCGACCGCGACACGATGGAGGTCTTCGTCGTTTAAGATCGATCCCTTGATAAACTTCACTTTGTTCTACATCGACCTTCATCAGCGCGGGCATTTGACGGGACGATTGTGTGGCAGTGGGGACGCCTCCGCCCTTGGTACAATGCGTGTCTGTACCTGGAGAAGGGGGTTGACGAGGAGCGCGCGCACTTCTTCGCTCGGTTCGGCCGGGGCCATGATGATGCATGGAATGTTGTTGATCGAAGCAGCTCCATTCGGGCCGCATACGATGCGATCGGGATGGTAAAATTCGGTGAAAAAATCCAGGAGGACGCTCGCGTTCGAAACGTGGCCGAGGAGAAGTACGTGGGGGCGGTTCGGGTCTGGTATGTAGGTCTTTCGGAACGGCGACTGCATCGCCAGCAACGCGACCAAACGATTGACTTCTTGCGGCAACAAGACGAGCGAACCCATGATCATGGCGCACGTGACGAATTTCCCAAGCGTCGTCGCTGGTCTACATCACGCAAGTCACATGTCAATGGCCTCGAACTGCGCACAGACAGGTCCGTCGAATGCACCACAACATGGACAACTGGCACCCATATCACGAGGATCATCCAGTCGCGACAAAACCAGTCGACGTACGCAATGTCGCCGTAACCCACAGTCGAAATCGTGACCATGATGAAGTAGAACGAGTCGCCCAACGTCACATTGCGGTCAACTGTCTCGCCGTTCGGTAGCACGATCGGGTCGCGGTACGAGTTCTCCACGAGTTGAAATAAACACGCAGAAATGAACACAATGCTTGTGACGAGAAGGCCAAGCGACAGGAGTTGCTGCTGGATCGCTGAAACACGTGCGCGGCTGAGACGGCATTTGCACAAGTGGTCGGGTACCTGTGATTTGCTTGGTGGCGCTGTGGCGCGACATTTGAATTGCCTTCATGATGCGCAAGACGCGAACAAAGCGCAAAAAGGCAAATTTCGGACGCTGTCCTGTCGGATTTGTCGACGAGTCGCGGGTGACGTAGTCGTAGATGGTGGGCGCGACGGCTAGAAGGTCGATGATGGCGCTGAACGTGAACGGGAACAACAGCCTGCGCGCAACACCACACACGGCGATGAGTTATGAAGCACGTGTAAGAAAGTAAGGGTACTTCACGCACCGATTTTTAGCGCAGTATAAGCGCAAGCAGTAGTCGGTGGCAAAGATGACTCCAAATGACAGGTCCACCTCTGGCACGACAACGTCGTCATGGTAGCTTTGAACGACGCAGACTGCACACGCGACAAGCGACACGAGGGTTTGGAACATATCCCACGCGTACCCACTGTCAGACGTCTCGAGCTTGATGCGGACGCGCGTGCGAAGCGAGAATCCTTTCGGGATACCATGAAACAAATCCCAATGCTCGTTGCCAAGGAGGATGTTACTCAGCCGGGACCGCTCCGTTAACTTTTGTCGGTCGCTCACGAACACCTTTCCGTCATTCTTGTAATATCGCAACGGCGATGCCCTCGCCTGTCGCGACGGTGCGACCATCTTCGTCGTGATCGGGGGAAGCGCCATGTTGTCGCGACGTTTCCCGCAAAAGAATCGCCTTGGTGGATTTTCTTAAATGAAAGATGCAAATTTCCTCGGTAGTGAATAAATACTTGATCACTGCTACTAGTATCGCCAACAGAAAAAAATGAATCCTTTATTTCTCGTTCCAAATTCTTCAAGTACTAGTAACGCATACGTACTTCAGAACGATCTTTGTGGATGTTCACTGAGGAAAAAGGCGCGCGGATGAGGCTGATGCGATGGAAGCTAGCGGCGCGCAAGACGACTGCAGTGCCTTCCCGTAAGAGAACCCTTCACCAGTCCATAAGGATAAGACATAACGATGGCACAGATGAGGAACTGCCCAAGATATCCGTTCAGGCGGCACGGTTGCTGATGGACCTCGTTGGGTACTTGGACAAGCTGTATTGGCACGAAGAATGCTTGTACGACACAAAGGGGACCATGTCACCCAAAGTCGAAGAGCTATTCATGGCATTCCAACAACTCACAACGTCGACGGCTACGTTCACTAACTTAGCCATGTACCCTCCCCATGTCATTGCAACTACGATCAAGAAGGTGGCGTGACAATATTCTGTGAAGCCCACCTGGACTTCCAGTCACACCACGTGTGCACACTAAGAATGGAACCGATATGTGTAGATATTGCAACGATACCAACCTTTACTGACTTACACACGGTCCCATGCCCTCATGATCGAAGCCAAACTTACTCCGGACTCGATTGCAGCCCACTTGAGCAAGATCCGTGGCACCAATCGCGATGTCTTGCGTGTATTGCTCTGTCATTGGAAGCGCGTACGTCATGTACAGTCTTCAGTCAAGTCAATTTCAACAATATGCAGATTTCCGAGCACAAGCACATGAAGGGAGATGCGTCTCGACTGGCCCAAAGCGTGGGCGTGTTGACCGTGCGACCTACAGAAGATCTGCAAACACTAGGCCAGCGTGCGTAAACCCCTTCTTTGCTGCTATGCAGTCGTTGAGTCTAACAAACTATAGGAGCTGTCCTGAAAGCGAGGATACGGATCGCACGAGAGCTCATTCGCGGCGCCAAGTCGTGGCCGTACGGGGCCGCGGCGATACCGAATGTCCCCACGAAGATTTCATCCGCTGACTGGACGTCGGAAGGTTTCAACTACGCCATAAAACTGGTGTGGTATCCCGAGGATGGTGTGACGTATGACGAAGATCGCCTTCGGGTACGAACGCGGGAGCGCAACAGCATTGACATTGCAATGGCCTTGGAGTCGCCAACGAACAATTCCTTGAGCGAAGCGCGATGGTAGGCGCAATTGACACCCCACTGCGCGATCCACTCTATTGCGATGCACCCAACAAAGCCAAAGTATGTGTTTGGCTTGATTGGACCCTTTGCATTGACGCTGCGTAGAGCTCGCGTCGCGGTGCATCTCAAGAAAGCCAAAGCGCTCGATAAAATTGTGGTGAAGTTGCAGTCCAAAGCACAATTGCACGTTGTTCATGTCCAAATCCTGGCCAACATGCCAGTGGGCGATGGCGTTCCGGTAGCAGATAATGTTGTGTCGCCGCCCGATCGCGTCGACGTCGTGGAGCCTGTGGATATCCCACCAGTGGAGGAGATCTCAGAGAAACCTGGACATATTCCGATTGTTGAGCCCATTCCAGCGACCACGCTGCTTCGTGCCGACCGCTTCAAGGACCAAGCATCGATGGAAGCCGAGGATGTTCTATGCATGCAACTATTTCCAGAAGCAGCACCGGTCGTCATGGCAGCGTCGTTTTCAACCCAAACCAACCACGTTGTGTGCGTCGACGCGATCATGCAGACGGATGGAATGGCCGACACAGAGCAGCACAACGAAGTGTCTGCCCAAACGGAACCTCTTGATCACAGCGACGTCGTCATCGACATGGTGCCTCGCGTTCGCCGGGTCATCGAGGTACGGACGAGCTGCAAGAGCGATGGAGCTTAGAATTTAATACATATGTAGGTCCTGGAAACGACGACTGCATCCGTGGCCGACTGCTCAACCAACGAAACGATTCGTGCAATGCATCAAGCGCAAGTTCAAGTCCTGCACATGCTGGAGTCCATTGTGAAGAACGCCACTCCCGTGGCAAAGACGTCCTCGGCGACATTTAATCGTGATGACACGGAGCTGTTGGAATACCGGCACGCGCTGGACGCCCATTTGAAGTCCAAGGTTTGAAGGAATACTCGTCCATGCAATCATGCAATGACGTGCTCAATCAGTTTTCCAATAGGCAACGGTGCTCGAAGCCGAGGTTCTGGCCGCGCAGGAACTGCTACGTATGCACAAAGCGCAAACTACCCAACAAATGGAAAGTGTACGTGCCAAGGATGGTGTTGATGGTTGTAAATTCACAAGGATCCCATACGTGCAGTGGCAAGTGGAGGCAGTAACTCTTCGCATGGTGGCACTCGAGGCCGAGAGGCAATCCATGGAACTGCGCGAGGAGCTGCGATCCACGCGCAGCGAGTTGGCATGCCAATTGGCAATGTTGTCACATCTCAAGCGGTAGACTGTAGAGTGCCATATCAGTTGTTGGAACTTCTGTGGGGCATAGGGACAATGCGGCGCTGCAGGAGAAGCTTCTGCTGGTCGAGACCAAAGCAGAATGCCTTGAACGAGATACCACAGACCAGAAAGCACAACTAGTGCATTTGCAAGATGTGGCGGCCAAGGCGCAATTGCGTGTCGAAGCATACAAGGCGATAGGTACGTCCTTCTTCGCCAGGAAACACTTAACCGATGACCAAACGTCATGAACAGCACCAAGTTTCGATCAGGCAGACAAAATGGCGCGGAATGAAGCGACCTCTCAACCAGACGCAACACCGAAGCCATCGTCCGTCGACGTGTTGATTCAACTGAAGGAAGAAATGAGCCAGCGGCTACAAACTCAAATCGACTACACCAAGTACGACTAGCAATTTCTATCTTATATGCATAGTGACGAGCTGAGCGAACGCTGTTAGAGCCACGATTGACGCCATGGACAAGCAAGATCCAACAAGCGTTCACTTGATCGACCAGCAGCGCCAACTCTCGACGCTCGTGACAGGGCTTGTGAACGGCGACAAGACTGGATCGACGGCTTCCCAACAAGCGATGGAGATATCCCGCGAGAAATTGAACCATCTATCGGACGCCATGTCGTTTCCCCGGGCACACCGAGCAGCTTTCGACTCGCACCAACGGCACGTTGCACGTCCGCCACTGTCTACAACGACACGACAGTGGATATCGCAAATCTACGCTCAAGCGGCCCCTCCAAGAATGTCCAAGGCAAACCCAGACTCATTGAACGCGGCGCGACTGTCGCTGCAAAATTTTCACCATGTCGTGGGCTACACATCCATCCCGAACGCATAACAAGAATCGATGGCAGAGCTCCATCTTCTAGGCGCCATGCCTACAGAGGCTGTAATTGAATGTCAGTTGCACTGACGCTCTCATATGATCTGTGCGTGGAAGTGCATGCTCCTTCGCATCCGCCAAGGTGCCGCTGTGCGTCGTTGGTGTGGATTTGGATTCGATATCACACTATTTTTGGTGAATGCCCTGCATTTTCACTATTTCTGCACAATCCAGTGCTGGAAAATTTAACAATGGACGAGGACCACACCCGGAAGCGGAAGCTGCCGCCTGGGCTGGCACCTCCATCACGCGGAGTTGAAGACGTTCTTGCTTCTTCTGGTAGCGGGAAACCTCCTCCATTGTTCTCCATTGGCGTGGCGAAGAAGTCCAGGTTTGATCGGGAGAAAGAGCTTCGTGAACAGCGACAACGCGAAGCCGACGAGGAAACCAAAAAAGCGTATGCGTCGTTCGTGGCGTCGTTTGACCAAGACGACAGCGCACCTGCATTTGTGCCTTCAGAAGGACACCATGCCGCGTCGTCCAAACCCCGACCGTTCTCCGCCACACCACCGCCACTGGCACGACCGCATCAAGGTCCACCGCGGCAATCGTTTCCTCCGCCGTTGGTATCGCGCCCTCCACCGAAAACTCAACCCACAGCTTCGAGGGATGCACCAGCTAAGGCACCTGCGCCGTTTGCCTTTTCCTTGGACGACGATGACGTTCCAGAAGTCGCCCCGAAGCGAAAAGTCAGGGAAATGGACCGGTTCCTCGAGGAAATTAAAGATAGGTATGCCAACGCTCTCTGCATCATGTCTTTCCAAAAGGTACCTCGTAGCGGCTTTGAACCCGTGGCATCCTCTCCATACGACACCGGGGGCGACGAAGACAGCACCAACTTATACGTGAACAACCTTGCGCCATCGGTCACGGAAGCGCAGCTCCGCGTACGCCCACCATGTTGATCTTCGTCTTTAGGTCCTGATCAAGCGACCTCAATTATTGTAGGCGCTGTTTGGTGCCCACGGCCCCATTTACTCGATTAAAGTCATGTGGCCACGCAGCGACGAAGAGCGCGCTCGCGGCCGGAATTGCGGCTTTGTGTGCTTTTGCAAGCGGCTGCATGCAGACTCGGCTCGCATTCACCTGAACGAGACAAAGGTAGTAGTCATTCGACTCGGTTCCCTGAATTCACAAACAACACATGCTTGTAGCTGGAAGGATTTGAAATCTCCGTCGGGTGGGGAAAGGGGGTCAAGATGGACCCCACTGCCGTGGCGGCCCTCCTTGGCCCCACCCTTTCAGTCCCTCCTCGTGCACACGGTGCACCACCTGGCCCGCCACCGGCATTCCTGCGACCCCCACCCTCCGGTCCACCCCCCGTCTTTATGCGGCCTCCACCTCCTGGTCAGTTGCCCCCACCCCGACCGTTCCCCCCTGGACTTGGCGCTCCTCCTCGACCAACTCTCGGTCCACCACGGCCACTACTTACGCCTCCGCGACCGATCTTGTCCTCACCGCCCCCGACCGTGATTGTGGAACCGCCCGCAGACAAGGAACAAATGGCGCTCATCAACTACGTCGCTCGCTGTGTGGTTCGTTTTCGTCGTTTGTACCAATCGTCGACGTTGTCATTAGAGCAAAGATGGCCCTCAGTTCGAAGATCTCATGCGGCGGTCGCAGCTTGACCCCAAGTACGACTTTCTTCGAGCGCCGCCAACGTCGAGCCTGAACATTTACTACAAATGGAAGGTACCCGACTCCATGTGTCTTTTCGAGGATATGAAGCCACGTGGGTAGGTGTACTCGTTGCAGATGGGCGACACCGACACAACGTGGAGGACAATGGGGTTCCAAATGGTGCCCAACGGTCCAATGTGGATCCCGCCCCCGAATCCGGACGGCGATCCCAGCACGTTGACCGACGCGTCGGCAAGCATGTCCCAGACCACGCCCTCCCACCAACATCCGCGCAGCCCCAAGAAGAACCCTGTCATCATGACAGGGCAGCAGTTGGCTGCGTTCAAAGACAAGGAAAAGTACGTTGGATGACGCCTGCACGACGGTTGCATGTGACGATTTGTTTTGCCTTTTTTGTTTGGAGGGTGGCCAAGTGTGCCTGTGGATGTTTTTATTCGGGTGTTGAGATGGCAGCATGTCCCATGGCAAATGGAGGATGCACGTGGCATGGCTCATGTCGTCGGATGTAGGGGCCAGCGCGCCAAGTTTGAACTGTCGCGCCGCGAGTACGACACGTTGTGTTCGTACTTGGAGGAAGTTACGATCGATCGGCAATCGGTGTGCGACGTGATGGCGTTTGCACTCGACCATTCCGAGTGTGCCGTCGACATTGCGACTTCCATTCTCAAGTACTTTCGCGTCGACGTGCCAGGTGGCCCGAATGGCGTGCAGCCGTATCTCGCGTACGTCGCGCGGCTGTTTGTTGTGTCGGATATCTTGCACAACTCGAGCGCGCCACTCAAGAACGCATCGTTGTATCGGACGCAGTTTGAAGAGTTTTTGCCAGAGATTATGGACTCGCTCAACGTTGTGTCGCACGCGATCGTCGGGCGCATGTCGTTCAATGCGATGCGGGATAAAGTTCTGGCCGTCCTCCATGCGTGGAGCCAGTGGAGTTTGTTTCCACCGGCATACCTCATTGGCCTCAATGCGACGTTTCTCCAAAAGGCGCGCCCGGCGAGGGCCACAAGCCAAGACCAGGACACCCCCGACGACGTGCCGATGGCGACCGTCCGAGCAGCGATCGATGCCGACACGTTGAATCTCAACGACGAACGATTGAAGCGCAAATGCCGCCACGCCGGCCTCGTCTCGAGTGGCACCAGGGACGACATGTTCCGACGGCTGTACATGCTCAAGAAGTTTACGTCAGTGGGCGAAGGGACTCCTGACGGCGTGAAGGAGACGCCCGCGGTGGACGAAGACGTGGACGGTGAACCCATGGAAGGCGCCGACGATGACGACGACATCGACGGTGTCCCACTAGACGATGATTTCGACATTGATGGAGTGCCTCTAGATGATGATGACGATGTAGTTGGGGACGAGGACGTAGATGGGGAACCGATGGAGGTCGAGACGTAAATGGCAATGCATTACGGCGACATTTGCTTGGTCACGATTTGGAGGAGGTTCTCGCGGGTGGTCGTGTCCATGGGGGATGACCGGGACGTCAAGAGGCTGGTCGAGAAGTATTAGTGAATCATGTAGTCGATGAATGGCATTGAAGGGCTCACCTTTGCAGTGCCACGAGCTTAGCGAGATACTCGTTGCGTTCGTGGAGGAGACCAAGCTTGACTGTGTGCACATGTTGCTCCCTTGCGTGGCAGATCGCATGGAGCTTCTTCAGTTGCTTTGTCTTGTCGATGGCGCTGGCCATCTCGCTATTGGTATCGGCGTGGCCGCCAATGTCGCGCAGGATCTAAAGCGTTGGAGTTGCTTCATTGTAATGAAACATCATCGACCCCATTGCAACGACCTACCTCATCGACGTATTTCCACAGCTCGTCTCGGTAGTGGAGAACTTGGTCTACGGTGGACGGCACTGGGGACGCGTGGGGCCGTTTATCTATTCAACGCAACGTTGACCGTACGTGGTTGTGCATGCCATGGGGACGTTGGATGTGACTCACGGGGCGCAACTCCCTCCCTTTGAGTCTTTGCAGGCGGCGGTGGCGGAAGTGCTTGGTGCTCCAGAGACATCGACCGGTGGAACTCGACAAACCCACCCGCCATCGTGAAGCACCGCCGAATCTCTCAGTTTCACTTCCACATGTCGGGAACGTTACAGGTTGTACTACTACTAGTATTCGCTGAGTACTAGTTGCGTTAAGTACGAGGCCAATGCAAGAAAGTGCGTATTTGATTTGAACGTTTTATCCGGATGTTATCCAGCGTTTCCGTGCTGATCTATCATTTGTGAAAGGTTTCTCCCTTTGCTTGCATTCAGGCCGCAAACTCAATCCATCGGCCGACCGTATCATGGTGGGGCATGCTTGCGGCTGTGTAGATGGAAGGTCATGCGAGTGTGTAGAGCATCTTGTCGTACAACGGAGCTGCGATCATTGCTATGGCTGGCAAGAACTGCGTCGCGATTGCCAGGTATTGTGGCTTTGAAAGTCAAGCTGCATGGTTTCAACTTGTGTATCCAGCGACACGCGGTTGGGCGTGCAAGGACAAACGATTGCGACGGATTTTCAAAAGGTGTTTCGCCTCAATGACAAGACGTTCTTGGGGCTCGCGGGTTTGGCCACAGACGTCCAGAGTGTCTCGCAGTTGCTACGATTCAAACTGAACATGTACAAGATGCGCGAAGAACGCGACATGAAAGCGAAGACGCTGAGCGCGATGATCTCCAACATGATGTATGAAAAGCGGTACGTTACGCCTGGAATGCTGCGATGGCATCGTTCATGGACGTATGCCCTTCTTGCCGTCGTTGTAGCTTTGGGCCGTGGTTCGTGGAACCGATTGTCGCGGGCTTGACGGACGACAACCAGCCGTTCCTAAGCAGCATGGACTGCTTGGGGTGCGAAATGTTCACCAAGGACTATGTGTGCGCAGGCACAATGGAGGAAGCACTGCACGGCATGTGTGAATCCCTCTTTCGTCCCGACTTGGTGCGATCGACTACACGTTTCTCCACAATTTCTCACACATGCATTTAGGAGCCAGAGGACTTGTTTGAGACGATTTCACAGTGCTTGCTGTCGGCGTGCAACCGAGATGCGTTGGCAGGCTGGGGTGGTGTCGTCTACATTTTGTAAGGTGGAAGGACTTCGAGATTGGTGCTGACTCGTGGGCATGCCCACGTATAGGACTCCCCAAGGCGTGACAACCAAAGTTCTCAAGACGCGCAAGGATTAGAGTCCATGCCCCCGACGCGCGCATGACCACATCCATCGGAGTCATGGAACTTGAATTGAATTCTTGACGTCGACCTTGCTTGACTCGATTGCATCCGACCGTATGCCCATGTGTATTTTCACTTCCATGAGAAAGTCTTCAGTCGTGGGGAGGCATGATCGTTGTGACTGCAGCATGCACAAGCGACAGGCTGCACCGTCAATGATGGCTTAGCGCCGTGCTGAAATCGAGTTGGTTTCACTTTCGGCATGCCATGCTCTCACTCCTAACTTCTTCGGCGGCGGCGATGGTCGCAGGTGCGCACAGTTGCTAGGTCACCAGTCTTTTGCTTCTTCGCGCAATGCACACCCGTCGCAGCGACAAAAAGCTGGCGTGGCTAGGTAATTCTTGACGATCGTTGCGCTCGGTCAACAGAGACAGATTGTCCACAACCGACCACGATCTGCGAAAGCCCGTCGTCGTGCGGACATGCGGGAGCTAGCCGTTCCCGACCCAACTCGGACTGGCCAGCATGTCCAGTCAGTCATGTGTGACTGTCAAGCTCGTCATCCGTGGGACGAAATCCAATGCTCCGACGCTCGCCACCACGATCAAAATCAGTGGAGAGCAGTGCCAAGACAGCCATGAGTGGTCCTCCAACGATACCTCGGGTCTTCGAGAGTCGATGGCGAAATTTGGACCAGTGAAGCAACCCAGACGCTGCTTCGAGTCCCCCCGATGAAGGGTCACGAGCGGGGGCTTCTCGACGGTGGCAGGGCGCGCGGCCAACAAACAGCCACGTCGTGGGTCGCGCCAGACGACATGAATCAATTCCAAGTGACCGCGGAAGCATGTCCACGACGTCGTCGGCAGCACCAAACCCGCACACAGAGCAGTCGCCCCGGCGTTATAGTGGGTGTGGTACGACAAAAAGGTGGAGCGTATCGAGGTCAAGGTTGTACTTCTTCCACGTTGTTACACCAGGTCAACAAGTCCCTCCAGTTGTCAAGACGAATGGGCCGTGTTTAGCTTACCCGCCTTCGTAGTTCAGACTGCCGCCGTGGCAGATCCAGATGTACCATCGAGCACGCAGGTCGTACCCGAGTGGACAAGCCTACATCAAGGAATTGAAACGAAGGGCTAGCAACAGTCTCAGTAGATTGGCCGGTGCATGGGAACGTGTTGTAGAGCCGCTGAAGGTGGTCCACGTAGCCTCACCAGACGACGGGGCTAAAGTCTGTGGTGGTCGCAGGAAACGTCGACTCCTTGGGGCAGGCGTGATCGGTCCAAAGCACCTCGGAGACGTAACCCTTTAAGGACATGCACACGAGGTTGGCTCAAACGCGGCACGTCATGAACAAAGCTACGGGGTGGAACAAGACGTGAATGGGGAGCGGCACCAATGTTCACGCCAGGTAATGCCATTGATTCACCGCCAGTCGGACTGAAAACGAGTGAGGTATTGGCGACTGGCGGGTAGTCGCAGTGCTCACGCGTATTTTAAGCTCCTTGCAGCCAAACAGTCGTCCAACCCGATTGTCCACAACAAACCTTGACGAGTACTGTTGGCCATGGAGCACTTTTGGCCATGGTGCACTGTGCTCGAAATTGTACGGACAGCCACAGCCGAATGGAATGTAGATTGCGATCACACGGCTGCCCGAGGTGCGACCCACGTGGGTATTGCACTGCACGGGGTCAAAGTCTTGCATCGGCACGTTGGCTGTCATGCTTATTGCAAGTGACACGAGCGCAGCCTCTCCCGCACGGACGTGGTCGAACGAGACTACTTCATGACTACTTCATGGCCGTGTGCGGTGGCGAAGGCACTGGAATTGCGGAGGACAGTGCACACATCGCGCCGCGCCGCGACGTGGTGCGTGCCACACGAGATGCCTCACGGTCGCTCCATGGTGCGCTTAGCTGCGAGTGAGTTGATCCTGCGAGCGCAACAAGGACACTTGGGTACAAGTAGTTGACGACGCTCGGCCTCCGTTGACAGAACGCTTGAAACAATTCGAGCAATTTCCACAGGAACGACAACACTAAATTTTACAGACAATACATGAACAACACTCTGATAAAAATCATTGGGCAAAATCTGTGGCGAACTAGCGCTTGATTGGTTAGAAAAACTATTTTCTCGTCTCGGACTTCTGGAAACCGGCAACGACACCATGCGGCTGAACCGGCAGCTCACGCTTTGTTTGGCAGCAGCGCTCTACGCGGTGTGTGTGCTCTCGATCATCCTCCCTGATGAGACGGACAGCATCAGCACCACCGGAAGCTCCACCGCTGTAAGTCCGACTGCATCTTCGCCGTTGGAGCCGTCACCGGACAAGGCACCTCCTCCAGCTCCACTCTCTCAGAGCCTTGTTGGAAGCACACGAGCGATCCCGGCCGCGGCGACAACTGTCGTCATTGAAACAGACATTGCTGAAAACATTGCAGAACTCGACGTGGACCTCCTTGACCAAAGTCATTCGTCCAAAGAAGTCCAAGATAGTGACGGTGGGCAGCGACAGAATTACGCGTCCAAGGACTCTGGCGCAACCGTGCTGGATCATGCACCTGGCACAAAAGGGTCTGTAAATCTTCTCGTGCCGGACAAGGACCGGTACATGCTCATTCCATGCGCAAGCGAGAAGAAGTGGGTCGTCGTCTCCCTTTCCGAAGACATTCACGCCGACGCGATCGCAATCGCCAACTACGAGAAGTTCAGTTCTCCAACGCGCGATTTTCTGGTCGGTCAACTCCTCCATCCATCATCGGTCGCCATATGTAGTGTTTATGGTGGCATCGTAGGTACTCGGCAGCATCAACTACCCCAGCGACACGTGGGTCGTTCTGGGCAACTTCACGGCCTCTCACCGGAACGGCGAGCAGCTCTTTGAATTCCACGAAAGCCACCACGTCCGCTACATCAAGCTGCGCATGATGTCGCATTACGGATCGGAATATTACTGCACGATGAGTCAAATCCGGTACATTCGATCTCGACTCGTTCCTCGTACCAGTGGGTTCGTCCAGGGTGTTTGGCCGAACGTTCACGCAAGTGATCTCGCAGTTGGAGAAAACGATCGAAGCAGAGGCTCAGTCCCCTTCGCCGTCGCCCGCCGTCCCTCTTGTCCCCTCTAGCACAACACCGACCGACTCGAACTTACTGTGCCCTTTTCCTGCGCCAGAAAGTCCCATCTCGTTCTTTCTGCACGCCACGACGTTTGAGAGCGCCACTATCGAGGTCAATGACACGTGTGTTTCCCCAAGTCCTGCGGACGCCGCGAACGGAACCACAGAACGGAATGGGATCGGTATGCCTGGCACATCTGGGTCGATCATCCGTGGTGCTGTCGCGGGGGAGAGTGTGGCTTCCTCGAACTCGAGTGAGGCTGGCACGACGACTAGTTTGACGGTGCCGCCTCCGTTGTCGTCGCCTTCAGCAGGGCAAGGCGGCGCCAATCCCTCCAGGACTGACTCTGCCAAGTCTTGGGAGAGTCCCACCGATAGCACGAAAGGTGCATCGGACGAAACCAAAGCGACGCCTCCAACCGCCATCCCAGCCATAAACAATGGTGGCCTGGATAACTTTTACATTCGCATGTCCAAGAAGTGTACGAACTTTGAGAATTCGTGATGCCGTTGCTTGACTTGTCGCGTGCTCTAGTGCAAGTGCTCGAGACCAACGTGTCGCAGCTCGAGAAGGTCCTTCACGACTTGCATCGCAACCACGCCATCTCGTTGCAGGCTTGTCAAGGGGCAATGGATGCATGCCGTATTCACATTCTGTGCTGTAGAATTGTGCAGCCAACGCCAATGCTGCAGCCGAGGCTCTGGCCACACTGGTATGTTGCTCGTGGTGCGCTCGGTTGCTGCAACGTGCGGTGGTGAAGTGACGTACGAGTGTGTAGAAATCGCAGTTTGGACTCAACATGTCCGCGCAAGCCAACCACACAAACGACTTGGTCCACCAGCTCGTTGCTCTGCATGAAGTCAACAAAGCGTTGCAGGTCCGCTGGTCTGTGCATCATATTTTTTTGGTCAACGTCGACGCCACGTATAGGAGCAAGTCGAGCAGCTGTGGGATGTGATCCGAACGATGAAGGCTGGGATCATGGCGGCGCTGCTGTTGTCCGCCATCCTGCTCGTGTTTTCCATTTGCCGGTGGGTGTTTCGGTGTTTGACGGCCTGCCACCGCCGTGCGGCGCGGCGTGAGTGGTTTCGACGACTCGATGTTGCCGATACGAGTGAAATCACAAGTCCCCACGACGAGGACACCGTGGACGACGATTTCAACCCGCTCACTCAGACCATGCACCACCGCGTCGACCGCACGATTCGCTTTGGGTCGTCCTTTGACGACGGTGCCATCCAGCGCAACACCATGTACCGCCGGTACGTTGTGTGGTCAGCGCTCGGTTGATGATGTGTGGTACAGAATTGTCAATGGGTTCCGGCAGCACCACGTACTTACGAAGCGACGGTACGTCATTCGAGGCGGCGCCCGACCGACCACGATCAACACGGCGATGGCCACGATGTCGCCAGGAACGCGACGGCGCTCCATCGCGGTGCTTTTCAAATCGAGGGACGACCACTCGAAGGACTCTTCGTCCGACGATGGGTAGATCGATCTCTTGCCGCCTCCTACCAAGTATACGCCCACGAACGCGCAGTCCACGAGCCCTTCACTTGGGGAGTCGGCGTGAGAGTACATTCCTTTCCTTAATTTATGTGCCGCGTTTGGCATTTTGACACGATGGCTTGCGATGAAGACATGGATCGGTTGGAGCCACATCCGCTCAGGAGGTTCCGCGATGGATACGGTTGTCGGGGACGTCGAGGTTTGAGGGAGTTGACCCATTGCATGGCACCGCTCGTCGAATGGCTGTCGCCAGTGCCAACCTCGTCCTGCTCTCTCTCACAAAAATGGTGTGGAATGTGACGGTGTTTGTCGGACAACCAACGCGGACAACATGCGCCATTGCCATCGTCGGTTGGCATCCGTTTTTGTGGGGCACGGTGGTTCACACAGTCAAGAGTGGAGGGTACGCCCCGTTTGCAAGCCAAGACCACGTTGTTTGGTTGCATGTATGGCAATGTCTCGACGAAATGCCAAGGACGGCACCATCCCCCTGAGATGTACTCCACGGTGAACCAATCTCTTCAGTTAGTCGATGGAGCTCGTTGGCCCCATGCATTCGGCGTCCCGAGGTTGGACCAGCGTCGAGAAGAGGCTGGTGTCAAAAGGGTCATATCTACGGAGGACGTGGTGGTCGAGGATTACATGATCCACGGTGAGTTCTTCGCTCCTGCTGCGTACTGCACTACAGCACTCCCTGTATGGCTTTGGTTTGCCACGAGCCTGCCCACGGCCAGCTTCTTGCTTGAGGTACATTCCCCTGCGGTCGAGAGGGCGTGCTGTGCGACGAATTGTTTTCGGTTTGCTCGGGACGTCGTGTGGCCTCGATGGTATCCTTTCAAGTCGATTTGGGACACGAGGCTGACGCACACCACTTCGACGAGGGTCTTTGTGACGTCGTAGCCGCACACAAAGCAGTCGGTCGGCGTTTGGTCGATCGTGGCTTGTGCTTGGAACGTGCTGGGGTGCCATCGAAAGACTTGGTACATCGACCCCCCCATGCATGCCACATCTAGTGAAGGCTGTCAGAAGGAGCGTCCAGTCGGTCGCAGCGCACCCCCTTTCACTGCACAAAGCCACTGCCGAATGTACCCCTTGGTATCCGTGGGTGTCGTCAACGGTGGCGGACACAGGACGGCATGCACCTATTCCAGAATCAAATCATCATCATGCAACAGTTCGATGGCACCGTCGCGTTGGCCGAGCCCGGTAACAGTGCACGTTGGGGTGGTTGCCGCCAACCGACCTTTTGCTGCGACAGCGAATGCCAAATCCTCCGGCACGAGAAGAAGCTCACGCATCGAGAAAAGAGTCGTCGACTCATATACGACCCCGCGGACAAGACGTACGGCGTGCCACAGACCGTGACCAAGTAAACAAGAATAGCCAATTCAATGTTCATGGACACCAAGCGGTGGTCGGGAGCGTCAGAGGCCGGAGTGCTGTCGAGGGCAAAGAGCCACGTGTACACGTTGATGAGTGATGGCCACAGCCCTTGCAAATACGTGAGGAACCCCCCGACAAAGTAGACCATCACGGCCACTTGAGTCGAGTCCACGGGCGTCGTGAGGGCCGCCCAACCCCACCGCTTCCGGACAGCGTTGTGCATCACCAACGTGCCATACGCACACCAAACGAGCCGCCCCAAGTACACCATCGCAAGCGCAAAGTACCAGAGGCTCTGGGTTTGACACACGCGTAGGCAAGCTTGGCCCATATACTCTGATGTGGCGCAAATGTCGGCGACGAACGCCAGGCAAACGTATGGGTTGGACATGACCAAGGGCGATGGTTCGCCAACGATGACTTCGTATCTCGTGACCGCGCCGAGGGATGCCTGGTGTGGCTGCAAGGGAAAGTGCGCAAGGTTAGCGCACAAATGGCCGACGTGTCGGTAGTACGACTGGATGGCCAGACCAAGAATCGTCAGGCTGAGCATCGCTCGGTAGAGGAATTTAAAGGCGAGCCACCATGGCGACAGCTTGTCCGGGATGAAGAGGTAGTACACGGTGAAGCTCGCGCCGCCCATGTGCCTGTTCAACTCGTTCCCAGGGTGAACCCACAACGCGTTTATTGACGACGGCGCGACAATAAAGTTCAAGCGCCATGCGCGGCCGACGGTCGACGCCGACGAGTTTCCACACACGCAGTCCAACACGGCGCTGTTGGCATCGGGCGTGAAGTATGCGGCCCCCAAGATGCTGTTGAGGAGGGTCGCGGGGTCGGCACAGTCGGACGGCGACACGACTGTGCGCATGACATCGACGACGCGGTCGCTGTCGTAGAAATACCCCACGTTGCCTGGGAGGGTCGTGGCGTTGTAAAGAACTTGAAACTGAGCCACATATTGCTGGGCAAGTGCGTGGGTCAACGTGGGGGCAAGGGGGAATGGCGGTTGGTCAGTCCGATGGACGGTAGCCAGGGGCGACACCTCCGTCATGTACACGAGAAACGGCATGCACACGAGGTTGACAAGGTAGAAACAGCTAAGCCACGCCGACCGATGCGTGATCGCCACGGGGACTATCATGCCGATGGAATCCGAGTGAAAACGTGGGGGGCGACCGGCTATGTTTAGCGGACAGACAATGCGGTTTCCAAACCCAGCATTCGAATGACTTCACTTGACATCACACAGTCTCGCTTTCGAGAATATCACGAGAGCTGCCGTCCTGATTGAATATGCATGACACGCAGTGGCAGGGCGACATTTGTGGCGTCGAGCCACGAAATCGCCTGACACATCGTCAAGGCCGAGATGGTTCCACCTCGGCGCAAGCGTCCGTGAGCAGGGGCATGCGTCGTCCAGTGCTCGAAGACTGCGCCATCCATACCAAAGGAAACGGATATGGTGCAAGCTGACCCGACCATCGTACTCGCATGACATGAATCGCCATGGCAAGTCTCTTCAGCGCGTTTGACAGCGTCCTCGTTGTACATTTTCTTGAACGAGGTGTCTCCATCTACCGCAACTTCGGGCCATCGCCACTCATCTCGTTCATGTCGGCTGCTCGTCGGGCCACGGTATGGTGTCAATGTAGTGTTGGTCGACCTTTTGTGCAATCAAACAACAAAATGTATCATCACGACTACCAGAACAACGTGGATGTGCTGCTGTCGTCACTGGCCACCAACACGACGCAGTGCATGGATCGTCGAGTCATGCGACGTTCCCCGCGATATGCTGACTGCCTTGGCCCCTTTTTTTCATCGCGTCGACAGCCACAAATCTCTCGCGTCTTCTCGCAGATCAACGACATGAACATCTACTTTTTAAAGAGATTTTTGTCTGTCTTGTTGTCTTCAGATGATGTGGCTCTCGAGTGGCTCGCTGCTCGTTGTCGATTCGATCCTTCATCGCCGCTGCCGCACGGCCACCGTTTATGTTCGACTGGTTGCGGTCGTGACGTTGGCGTCGTACATGTTTGGCGTAGTGTTGCTGCTACAGGTGTTCGTGGTCGATGTGTACGTCCTCGCTCTATTTGATTCGTATTCCAGGGACGACCGCCCATCAGGCAGCAACCAGTCGATCGACTGCTCTTTCGTCGATGGGCGTCGTCTCCATGTGCAGCCTTTATCCTGGGTTTGCAACTCTCGCGTCGACGGCGACGTGTATCACGGTCATTTCATTTCGGCGACTGAGCACCGGGGTGTGCTCCACGGAGAACATCACGCTGTTCAAGGAGAGGTACAAGGCAGTGCTTGACGGACGCATCGTCCTTGACCACCTACCATTGCTTGGAATGTCGAAGTTGCCTACCTAGGTCGACCAAAGCAAAATGGAGTACAATGGCATCATGCATCGGTTGGCGCTGTGGCATGGCCGCTTCGAACGAACCGTCAATGGCAAGTCATCGTTTTTGTGTTTCGACCGGAGCCAACCGTCCGCCTGCAAGACGATTGCGCTCCATCCGTTTACACGAATTTGCTGTGGCGGGTCAGCTTACCACTTCTTTCAGCTTTAGCCCACAGCACGATCTACCAAAGAGGCACGGACTGCTACTTGTTTGGGCACAACAAGGCTGTCCCTCTGGTGGAAGTGTCCCGCATGAATTTGGTGTCCCAGGTCGACATGTACCAAGTTAAGCACACAGCCACCAGCCGCAAGACGAGTTATCCCCAAAAGAACACAGGTCCGCCTACGATGGCCACCACGAGCGCGGTTGAGTGGGGCGTCTTACGTATCCGCTGCGATGCCGTAGATGGCGTGTGTCCGTAACATGACGACTGGGTGCCGACAAGTCTCCATGGTTGGCATGACGTAGCCCAGGCCAAGTCGCACGAGTGATTAGTTTGCATTACACTGGCGTTGAGCGAGGAATGCCAGGGGCCGTCGAACGGCATTCGGTTCTGTTGTGTGCATTCCGTGACGTCGAAGCTCTGTCAAGGACGAGATATCACGACTCCACAGCTACGCTACCCACGGCGACCCATCGACACCGCGCCGCAGGATAATGGACGGCGTGCCGCCAATGTCACGCCTTCCGCTAAACACGATGCGGCCGACAGCACAAGTCGTCGAGTGGTCGGTGGTATGCTCGACAGCGTTGTTGTGGGGGACAACTCGTGCTAGCGGTGGCAAATTGATGTGGGACACCAAACTCACCCGGGTGATTTCAACCAGGGCGTTGCTCGAGTTGTACCCAAACACGTAGCAGTCCGTGCCTCGTTGGTTGATCGTGCGGTTGACTTGAGCGGTGGAGTACAAGTTAAAGAGGCGGTAGGCCGACCCGCCGTAGCAGACGCCTACAAACGTCATGAAGAACGTGATGTTGTGGGTCCATCGAATGTGTGCTCAACGTACCGTCGGTGACGCGTCCATCGTGGCAAAACCACAACGACAAGCGCTGCTTGTAGTCGTTAAAGTTAAACCTGCTCTCTTCGTAGTGGTGCGGCCCCTACACCGTTGACCAGATCGACGTCAACGTCGACACGGCCATAGGATGCTGCGTCCGAGACAAACCTCGACAACGATTCGATGGTGTGGACCCGACGACGTGAGGCTGGAACTGGCACGTCGGACGCGCTGGACTGTAACTCGAGCGGCCGACGTCGCACAAACCGTCGAGTACCCAAACGCGACTGGCACAATGCACATGGTGATGGAAAAGATTGCGAGCGAAAAGGTGCAGTCGATGGTGGCGACGGCCCCGGTCGTCGGGTCCGTGGTGGCAAGCGCCCCAAACATGTACGTGTACATTTCGACAGCTGCCGGAATCAACCCTTGGACATACACGGCGACGGGGCCCATCGTGAACGACGCCATCGTCAAGTACATGACGTCGACGGGTTGAAACTTTCTGAGCTTGAACGTGCTGCAGCACAGCCACACGTTCAGGAGCAGGAGGCCCGCGGCTGAAAACCACATCATTCGGCCAAAACTGAGCAGCCCCAACATAAACTTGTACCAGGTTGAGAGCTGCGACACCCGGAGGCAGGCCAGACCAACGTATTCGGCGCTTGCCCAAATGTCGACGATGAAGAAGGCACACACAAACGGGTTGGCCACGACTAAACTTGTCGGCTCGCCGACGAGGATGTCAAACCGCACCGCCGTCGACGTGACGTGCATATCGTAACGTTTCAGCGCGTCTGCCAGGTGCTTGACATGGCAGTAGTACCGTGTTGCGACGAGAAACAGCATGTATACACCCATGAGGACTCGACAGGCCAGCTTGACTTGCAACAGCGTCGGTGTGCCGTAGCTCGGGATGTACAAGTAGAAGAGCGTCGAGTCCGCGTTGAGCCACGCAATGGACGTGCTCATAGAGATGGAGCCAAACAGCGTGATGTTCCAGCGCCTGGCTGGTGCTGCTGCCCTTGTGGTCGTGAGGCTGGAGCATGTGGCGGTAACAAGGTCCGCTTGAATCTCCTGGAAAGTACATGGACCCTTGAATGTGCTGCACGAGTGCACGTTCACTTGGGCAGCGCTCATCGTGGCGCGGTAGTTGCGACCGAACGACATCGACGCGGTTGGTCGCGTCGTTGGCGTACGGTGTTGTGATGCTCGAGTCGTTGTATAGGGACTCGAAAAGAGTGTGGTCGATGTGGGTATAGTTCGCGCACGACGCTAGCGCTGCAAAGGCAGGAGCCACCCGAAATTTGGAGCGGTGGAACGGAATCACTTCGTACAAGTACACTTCAAACGGCAACACCAACAGGTTCAACACAAACATGCCGCTGGCAAGTATCGACTTGAGGTTGTACTGAACTCGGGGGAGCGTCTTTGCCGGCATCGCACGTCCAGCCTCAATTCTGTTCAGGCCATTGTGCAGACGACCACGCTAAGAATAGCCAAAATCGCGGAGATTCTCTGGATCGATGCCAGCCATACCTGCCACACAAGCCCTCAAACGCCGTATTTGATGTTACAAGGGTGACATGAGGGCCACATATGTCCAATCTCCTAAAATAGCCCAACGTAAGCATGCAAGTCCGTGCATATCGACCAGTCGTACAATGTCGCAGTGGATGGATGATGATAGCCGCACTACTGGTAGCGCCCCCTCGTCAGCGCACAGCCACCATCAAAGTGGATTGAATGATTGGGACACTGTTAAAGCTCCATTGCTCCATTCGTCTCAGATGCTCATACTGTATGCCTTCACACAACGCTCGTGTAGTTCAAGTTTGTTCGCTCCCCATTGCGAAGACGGGTGGTGGTCGGGTTGATGCGTAGGTTGCATGCGAAAGTGGGGGACGTAAGCGACTTCCACACTCATGGCACCACGAACAAACACTTAATGAAAGGGCTCCAGCTCATGGAGGGGAGACGACGCCCCGTCCACCAACGAAATTGCGCCGTGCGGGATGGCAAGTAGAAATGGATCGTTTCAATGGCACCGTCGAAACTGACCACCACCTTCAACACACGAACGACATCATTGCACGCACGCGCCAGCACCCATGATCTGAATGAAGGTTTCGTTGGGGCATTCCTTCATTCCCTCGGAATGTTCCATCCTCGGTCGTTCGTGGGTGCCGTCGAACTTCAGCTCCTCCTTGGGCGGCACTTCCCTTTTCCTGTGTGTCCATACGCTCTGGAGGCAGTTACGTCGTCGTTGCATCAAGTGAAACCGACTATTCCAAGTCTCACCAAATTGCGTTCATGTTTTCGTTCTGGTCTGAAAATTCAACAAGGATAATTGTATTGATTGCACCGACGGAACATACTCGTCGATGGTGAGACATTCCGGACAGGTAGGGCATCTTGAGTTGTTTTACCCTTTCAAAGCACCAACACTCTGGTTCCTCTGAGCACCCTTGAGCCAATCGGAGGCCGCAGCGTGGGTTTTCCAGCATTATGATTGGTGGAATAACTTGAAGTTTCTCTCTCGCTTGGGGTTGCCCATGGGAGCGCAACGTCGACAAGATCGACTCGTTCAGAGGAAAGGTCAGCATCATTTGTTCAATTGCCCACGTCGACATGAAGCCCTTCGCTCCACTTATCTCGCTGCACTCGCGCCAACGTCGGTGTGCTCCCTCCGCGACAGACGATGGTTTGGTGAAGCCCTCCCGTGCCAGGCGACCACCCCCCGGTACAATTAAGTCCCAGATAAGCCGACTCGACCTTTTCTAACTGCTTCCCAACGCAGGAGCATATCCACGAGCTCGTGGACAACATCGCGATCAATATTGTGTTTAAAGTTCCCGTCTCGACAACATTCGAATGCAGCGTGAAATGCACATACAAAGTCGCATCAGTGAAGGCCATGGACGGAAAGGATTCTACTCTCGGAGCATACAGCATTCCCGCGAGTGAGCCGTCGGGTCATCCAACATTTTCGGTATTGCCTCGACCATGGATGCCGCCTTGTCCAACGCGTTGTGCCCTGCCGACGCATATGAAGTCTACTTGGTCCCAATCATCAACATCGACGGGTACCTTCGCACGAACGGCGATCAATGCCAACGCCAAAGTGCCAACGGCGTCGATTTAACCCGCAACTGGCCATCCCCGTACTGGAATTATGACAATTCATCTTCCGGCAGCAAAAAGACCGGGATCCTTCAGATCGAACCGCAACGACTGCATGGCTCAAGAGCGAAGGCAGTGCGCAGATCGATACTGTCGTGAATATCCACTCGAACGCAACTGTGGTGTTGTAGCTGTACGGAGACAGCCAAGACCCTCTGTCTGACGACTACAAGAGGCGCTTCGTAGCGTGAGCTAAGACGTGATCGGCTCGCTGGGCG